TAGAGACGAGTTCTCACTGTGTTTCTCTCTCTCTCTCTGTCTCTTCTTTTATTTTCTCTTTTATCTTTCATGTAGAGATGAAGTCTCACTATGTTGCCCAGGCTGGTCTTGGACTTCTGGGCTCAAGCAGTCCTTCTGCCTTGGCCTCCCAAAGTGTTGGAAGCCACTGCTCCCAGTCTGTTTTTTGTTTCTTTTCCTATTGCCTGTTAGCTTCTCATAGCAAACCAGTAACCTTGGTCTGGCACATTACAAAGTGCCATGTCCCCTGCTCCCAGTGGCCTCTGGGCTTCCAACCCCAGTGAGGATCCTCAAGTCCCAGTCTCAGAACCCTCCAGCGGCCCACGGACGGTCTCCGCTTCTTGTCCTGTGTGCAGGGGGCTCTAGGGGGTTCCATGATTCACTGCATGGTTCCCCACTGCTAGTTGTTCTGCCTGGCACACACCCGTGTTTCTTCAGTATTCAGCTCAGGATACTCTTTACCCTAACACTTTCCTCAACTTGTATGCAAGTTGAGTAGCTGTCCCCTGATAGAGTGTGTGCCTGTCATGCCTGCCACTGGATGTGCCATGTGACTGCCATCTTCTGTCGTCTGTGTGCAGACATTGGGCTTCCTTCCCTGGGTTTTCCGTCTGCCCCAGTGCTGCCAGATGTGCAGGGAAAGGGTGCTGACCTCCCTGGCTCTAACACTGACCTTTTGGGAGAGGGGTGCTTTCCCTTCTGGCTCTGATGCTGGCCTCTCAGTGGAGGGATGGTGATCCCCTGGCTCTGATGCTGATTTCGGGAGGGGGTGTGGACCCCCCGTCTATGATGCAGACCTTTTGGGGTAAGGGAGCTGACCCCTGGCTCTGATGGAGACCTCTCGGGGTAGGGGTGCTGACCCTCTGGCTCTGATACTCGCTTCTCAGAGGAGTACTGTCCCTCTTGACTCGGACGCTGACCCCCATTCTCGGAGGAGGGCATGCCATCTCCTGTGGCTTTGCCGCTGACCTCTGCTCTCTGGGGTGGGAGTGCCGTTTCCTCAGCTCTGCTGCTAGCTAACCCTGCTCTCGGAGGAGGGGTGTGCTCCCTCTAGCCCTGATGCTGACCCTGTTCTCTCTGCTTGTAGCTGGGCCGGTGTACCAATAGCGTAGTCAAGTATGAGCTGATGCGCCCATCCACCAAGGCCCCACTCCTGGTGCTGTGTGAAGACCACCGGGGTCGCATGGTGAAGCACCAGTGCTGTCCTGGCTGTGGCTACTTCTGCACGGCGGTAAGAGCCCACCCTGCCTCCTCCACAGCCTCTGCAGGGTACCCTGTTGGGCCCTCAGCACTGGCTTCTGTTCTGCATCTACCTGCTCTGGGGTCATCTGGTGGCTGATGGTATCCCAGGGGCTTGGCTGGGACTGGTACCGCCAGGAGGTCCCCAACGCTTCAGTAATCCTCACCACAGCTGTGGGGTGTCCCCAGCCCTCATTTCCTCCTTTTACCTGGTGTCTGAGCCCCTCCTTGTGTGGCAGTGAGCATCCCTCCAGGATAGAAAGCACCCTTCTCCCCAGAAGAGTCGTGTGGCGCCCGCTGCCGTGTGGCGACTGTTTCTCCTGGGCTCGTGTGTCATCCGTTACTTCATTCATCAAAGCCTGTGTTCACCAGAATCCAGGGGACACCAAGGACGGGCTTCCTCCCTGTGGGGCAGGGGAGGAAGAGTACCTGGTCCCAGGAAGAGCGTCTGAGTGTGTCTGGTTGCGCGTCCACGTGAGTGTGCCTGCGAGTGAGCGTCTGTGTGTCTGAGTGAGTGTCCCTGTGCCTGAGGGAGGATCCGTGTGAGTGTGTCTGTGAATGAGCATCCACATGTCTGTGAGTGAGCATCCAGGTGTGAGCACGTCTGCGGGTGAGTATCTGTGTGTCTGAGTGAGCGTCCTTGTGAGTGTGGGCGAATGTCCGTGTGAGTGTCTGCGGGCGAGCGTCCGTGTTATCTGAGTAAGCATCTGTGTGTTTGAGCGAGCATCTGAGTGTGTCTGCGGGTGAGTGTCTTTGTGTCTGTGAGTGAATGTCCTTGTGTCTGAGTGAACATCTGTGTGAGTGTGTCTGTGGGTGAACATCCGTTTGTCTGTGAGTGAGTGTCCCTGTGTCTGAGGGAGGATCCATGTGAGCGGGGGTAAACATCTGTGTGAGTGTGTCTGCTAGTAAGTGTCCATGTGTCTGCAAGTGAGCATCCATATGGGGATGGGTGAATGTCCGTGTGAGTGTGGGTGAGTCCGCGTGTGTATCTGAGTGAGCATCTGTGTGTGTCTGTGAGTGAGCGTTTGTGTGTGTCTGTGAGTGAGCATCTGTGTTAGTATATCTGTGAGTGAGCATCTGTGTGTGTCTGTGAGTGCGCGTTTGTGTGTGTCTGTGATTGAGTGTCTGTGAGTGAGCATCTGTGTTAGTATATCTGTGAGTGAGCATTTGAGTGTGTCTGTGAGTGATTGTCCAGGTGTGTCTGTGGTGAGCACTTGTGTGAATGTGAGTGAATGTCCATGGGAGTGTGCCTGTGGGCATTTGTGTGTGATCTCCAGACACCCCGGTGTGCCTTGCAGCCCTTTGTGGACCCAGCCAAGAGCCTCCACTCTGGGGTCCTCTGAGGACTCACACCTCCTGGGCCCTCCCCTGTCTTCAAACACCCTTTTTTTGCTTCTGCTGAAAACGAGGGAAGCTGCTTTCTCTCGAGCTTTCTGCAGGACGTGTCGCTCTTGTGTTTGTGTTCCTCCCCGGGATCACCAGGATTGTCACTGGGTCTGCTGACCTCTGCAGGGCACTTGGCTCCTGCATCCCCACACTGTGACCCGAGGTTCTGCGTTGTTGGATCTGGCCCTGTCAGCCTCCAGAATCAGGGCTTTTACCCAGGCCTTCTCACACGGCTTCCCGCAGCCTGGGCCTTCCTGGGTCCAGGAGTGAGAAGGACAGCCGAGTGGCTTCTGCCCTGCCTGGGCCCTCTGAAGAGCTGGGGGTGCGAGTGTGTGTGTGTGTTTGGCCTCCTCCTCCCCAGCTGGTGTCTGGACCAGGGCTGGGCCCATCCCCAGCTCCCGCAGTCCGTTCTCTGCCCATCTGCCATCAGACACTGTACCAGTTTTGTTTATTTTTCTTAACATTGGCTCCCATTTAAAAAAAATGATCCTTGTCTTCTGATTGTAGGGCAATTTTATGGAGTGCCAGCCTGAGAGCAGCATCTCTCACCGTTTCCACAAAGACTGTGCCTCTCGTGTCAATAATGCCAGCTACTGTCCCCACTGCGGGGAGGAGACCTCCAAAGCCAAAGAGGTGACCATAGCAAAAGCAGACACGACTTCCACGGTGACGCTGGCCCCAGGGCAGGAGAAGGGCTCAGCCTTGGAGGGCAGGGCTGACACCACCACGGGCAGGTACCTGAAAATGTCTCAGTCATTCCTTGTGGTTATCTTGCTGTCTTGTGCAGAAGTCCGTCAGCTGACTCTGGCGCTCATTGTGTTTTCTGGCATTCAGGACTCACTGAAAATCATTTGCTGCTGTTTGTACGTAGGTCTCTGTCAGTTTGGGCTTGTAGATTCATTTGCCTGTTTTTGAACCAGAGTTCACAGTGCCTCCCTAATGTGGCTGTCTGGTATTTTTGTTTGTGGCAAGGCACTGCAGGGGCATCTTGCGTATGTTTGAAGTGTTCACCATAGCTGCTGTAGTCTGTCCTGCATTATTTGGCGTTAAGGCTTGAAGGCCTTGACTGAAGATGAGAAAAGCAATCTAAAGAGTTCGAAGTACTCATTGAACATGTGGAATTGTCTTCCTACAAGAATCCACAAGAAACAGCTGAAAAGTTTGTAGAGCTGGAAGTAAGAGGGTCAGACAAGATGAAGACAGAGCCAGTTACCTTGTTCCCTACCAGCCACATCCTATGAGAAAATAAAAGCATGAAGGAAGTCCTTTCAAAACTGCACTCAAGCCATAAACTGCCTGGAAGTAAAGGAACTTTATTACACTGATACAAAGAAGAGGAAAATGTCATTGGTGGTCATTTAAAAGAGACTAAAATTGTTGGCATATCCAAATTAACTATTAGAAAGGTTTGGATTCCTTCCTGGTCATCTGTAAATTTAGTGTATTTTGAATCAAAATTCCAGTGGGATTTCCATTTGTTGGGTGGAGGAGCACTCTTCCTAGCTTGAGCCCGAAGCTCATTCATGAAAGCAGATTTGAGATGTAGGCTGGAAGTCCTGGGAGAGCTGCCCTCGGTTCTGAGTGATCTACTCCTCAAGTCAGTTTCATCCAGGGACAATGTAGATAGTAAGCGAATCCGTAGTTGCTTTCACTTGGAGAAGCAGAGTATTTGGACAGGTTGGAGTCAGTCACGTTTTATGTTTCCTTGGTTTCTGTAATGCTGAAACCCAACATTTTACTGATTCCTCTCCCTGCAGCACTGCTGGAGTGCCACTCTCAGAGGATGACAAGCCGCAGAGCACAGCTTCCCAGGGACCCGAGGGCTTCGATCCCACGGGAGCTGCGGGGCTGGTGAGGTCCACACCTGGCCTTTCCCAGGGCCCTGGGAAGGAGACCTTGGAGAGCGCGCTCATTGCCCTGGACTCGGAAAAGTAAGAGCTGGCGTGTGCGTGCAGAGCTGCCCAGGACTCACTTCCTCTGCACTGTGTTTTCCCCATGGCATCACCGTAGGGCTTTTCTGCTTTTTGGTTAATAGGTATTTTTATACCGTTTGGGAAATTATTGCAAATTCTTGTCCTCTCCATTATGCTAAGAGCAACAGGTGGCAGCTTTGAAGTCCTAAGAGGACATTCTTGGTGAGCTGCTCCTGACATTGCCCTTGGACACTGCTGTCACTTGAGCTGCCCTCGGACTGGTAGAGCAGGCACTGGTGTGGCGTTTCCCTCCTGGGCCCCACCCCACATCTGGGCCGTGCCAGATTTGGGCCATTCCTCTGGCTGCTCTGACAGCCCCCAACAGGTGCCCGTCATTCTAGCTGACAGGGGTGTGTGTCCTCCTCCCCCTGAGGATGGCATCACCCTCCCTAGGGTGAGGCCAGGCACACTGTCCCAACAAGATGCCGGTCTCCCAGGAGGGAGGTGGGTGCAATTGACCTTGAGGGGTTGACGGTTTGGCGTCACCTAAGCTCTGTAGCCTCAGCTTCACACTTGCCAAGCCGGAGCCCGTGTCAACGCCATCCTGTGCTTCCCGCAGACCCAAGAAGCTCCGCTTCCACCCGAAGCAGCTGTACTTCTCCGCCAGGCAGGGAGAGCTGCAGAAGGTGCTGCTCATGTTGGGTGAGTGTGTGCCTGCTGCCCGGCGGCGGCTCGAGGAATCCGGGGGCTCGAGGCTGGCTATGTGGGCCCCGGAGGGCGGAGAGTTGGGCGGTCACGCCTCCTGCACGAGACCGATCTCACTTTGGTTTCTCCAAGTTCTCTGATGAGTGAAAAGAGCTTGCCCACTGGTGTTTAGCCTTCTCATGATGTCTGTTCACGTGACGAGGAATGTTCTCTGTAAGTTTATAATTTCTGAAACAGGATTCAGCAGGTGCTAATCAGTCACGCAGAACTGTAGGTGCGGAAGCAGCGCGTGAGTGAGGCAGGCGCGCCTCGTCTGTCTGGTCGCAGCAGCGGTGGGTGGACAGAGGAGGGCTGGAGTATGGGGCAGTCAGGCACATGTTTTTGCGTTTGTACTTTAAGAGAGAAGCTCACTGGTTAGGCTTTCCAGTGCCTGCCGTGTGCTTGTGAGAGCCTTCGCGGTGAGGACGTGAGCTCTGAGCTCACAGTTCAAGGCTTGGGTTCTCTGAAGTTCGGCTTCTTTCGAGTGAGACAGGTGACTAAGAAGCCCTTTATCTGACAGTGAGTTGCGAAAGAAGCGTAACAGCTGGTTCTCACAGAGAGGTTTATTCACTTTGACCAAAATGGCCATTTTCCTTATGGACTTCACATGACAATAAGGTCTTTTCACTGCTGCATAGCTGGTCTCTGGGCTCACTGTCCACTCAGACCTCCCAGGAATAGACATGTCCAGGACCTCTGTCGATGGCCTCCCTCGCTCCCTCAGGGTGTGTCTGCCCCCTTACCTCACGGACCTGGGGAGGCTGTGGCTGGGCACATGGAGTCACAGGAGGAGCTCCAGAGTTAGGGAAGGCAGGAAGGGGCAGAGTGTGGGTTGCCAGGCTTGTTCTGCTGGACGGAACTACCTGTTAAAAGCTGTAGGAAATGGGCATCCTTCCCTCAAATCTTCCCAGCGGGGTGGGGCCCGGCTCTCCCAGTGGGACAGAGGAAGGGGCTGTGGGTGGGCCTGGTGTGGCTCAGAGTTGGCTGTGGTTTGGACGCCGGCTATCCATGCACTGAGCAGCCTTCATGAATCCTGTGGTGGTGTCCAGGGTTGCATCTGAAGTGACACCTGAAATCGTGCTTGTTCACAGTGGATGGAATCGACCCCAACTTCAAAATGGAGCACCAGAATAAGCGTTCCCCACTACATGCCGCGGCGGAGGCTGGTCACGTGGACATCTGCCACATGCTGGTTCAGGTTCGGTGGGCAGGCGCCCGGCTCGGGCTCTTCACCTGCTCTTTTTTATTTTATCAAAGCAAAACAATAGCAAATCATAGTCCTTCCCGTTAAAAAGTCAAACAGGGCTGTGGGACTGAAACAAAGCCCACATCTCCAATCTTCCTGGTCCTGCAGCCATGTCAGGCTCCGGCTGTTCCTTCTGGCATTTTCCACCACACTCAAGAATAACATGCTGCTTCTGTGACTGTTTCTCGATTTGCTTGTTTTAGCCTTGTTTTTAGTTGTTAATACATACTGACTTCCTCCTGGGGAAGGTGAGAATTTAGAGTTGAACTTAAGCACAGACACTTCCCGTCCCTCCTGCCCCCTCATTGCTTGGTTGCGTTACTCCTTTTGTTTAGTCCTCAGAATTTCCTTAGATGATCACAAGAACACTTTCTAAGGTGAGCCATGTCGCCTGCAAGGACGTGCTCTGCCTGCTGTTAACAATTGTCCGGTGCTTCTTTTGGCTGGGTTGACGCTACCTCCTGCTAACTTATTCTTAACCTCTGAACACACTGCAGTGCTAGTCTCTGTGCTCCGGCACACAGTGCTGTTGTCACCCTTGAGACAGCCTTCCTGGCCCCTGTGTTGGCTCCCTTGTTCCTCAGATGACATCTTGTAAATCTTGTGCCGTCTGACTTCTACTCCATCATATGTGACCTATTCTTTCTGGAAACTTCAGGAACTTTCCTTCAACCCCAATGGTTTGATGTTCCACCTCATTGTAGCACTAGCCCGTTTTTAAACTCCGCCTTGAATCTAAGGGACATCTGTGTGCCCTTGCCATGTAGAAAGAAACCCATGCCCTTCTGCTTGGGGAGGGCGTCCTGTGTGTCTTCTGTGCACAGGCCCTCCTCCCACCTCTGCTCTTTCCTCCTGAGACTTTTGGACTGATGTCCTGCCCAGACCGGCTCCTCGTCTTTTGGTTTCATTTTCTAGGTACCATTCTCTGCTTCAGCGTCCACCTCCTGGGAGAGTTTTAATTTGCACTGTCACGTTTTGAAGTCTGGAGAGTTCTTTCCTGCTCCCTGATGGTTCCTTTTTGTTTTTAAGAGTGCGGGTCCAGACCGGAGTGCAGGGCACTATCTCAGTTCACTGCAGCCTTGAACTGAGGTAAGAGTCCCTCCTACCTCAGTTTTTCCCAGTAGCTGGGATCACAGGTGTATGAGTCACCGTGCTGGCTGGTTTTTGTCTTTAACTTTTTGAGGAGATAGGGCCTTGCTGTGTTGCCCAAACTGAGCTCAAACTCCTGGCCTGAGTGATCCCTGCCTTGGCCTCCCAGAGTGCTGGGATTACAGATGCGAGCCACCTTGCCCAGCTAATTTTTTTTCAAAAGATGGAGTCTTGCTCATCTTGAACTCCTAGCCTCAAGGGATCCTCCTGCCTCGACCTCCCAAAGTGTGAGCCACTGTACCCAATTTGATCCTTTTTTTTTTGAGTCAGGATCTGTCACCCAGGCTGGAGTGCAGTGGCATGACCATGGTTCGCCCCAGCCTCAACCTCCTGGGCTCAGGTAATCCTCAGCCTTCGCCTCTTAAGTGACTGGGACTGTAGGTACATGTCACCACACCCAGCTGATTTTTTTTGTTTGTTTGTTTTTTGTTTTTTTTGTGGCGATAAGGTCTATTTTGCTCATGTTGCTTTCATAGTCCTGGGCACAAGCAGTCCTCTTGCCTCAGCCTCCCCAAGTGCTGAGATTATAGGCATGAGCCACCACACCCAGCTAGCTGTAGTTCCTTTTTTAATAGCCTCTTGTTCTTCCCTTATTCCTTTGATGATATTATGGTTATTTTGAAGTTGTATGCTGCTCTATTTGTTTTAGTCTTCCTCATTTAAAAGATTTTCCTCAAATGCCTGGTGATGTTTGCTTATATTTAAAGTACTAAAATGCTGATGGTAGCTCCTGGTTGGGGGGACTTGTCAGCTGCAGGGCGATCTGCAGGACTTGATGTCTTGTTGAACCCCTGATGTTGTCTGGAAAGGACCCGTCCCTTGGGCAGTCGCCTGCCTGGTTCTTCCTTGGAGCCCAGAGAGACTCTCGGGCTGCACCGTGGGCCACGCCATCTGCTGCACTCGTGTTCGACAGTGCTCCAGCTCGTCAGTCAGCCCCCATTTCTGGAGTCACAGCTGCCAGATGTTACTGTTTGCCTGTCCCCTCCGACTGTTTTCCTCCTCTTTTGAATATATATATGTTTTTAAGATAGAGCTCAAATTTGAAGTCCTCAGTCTAACAAACTTATATTTTAGGAAACTTTAGTTCAGTTATAGTTGTAATTTCTGGCATGCTTTTATGTATATTTAGTGTCTTATATTGTAGTTTTAATTTCTGGCTGGTTTAGTCTGTTTTCTACTGCTATAAGATTACTTGAGATTGGGCGACTTACAAAGAAAAGAAATGTATTTCTCACAGTTCTGGAAACTGTACGGAGCTGAGGTCGAGGGGCAGTATCTGGTGACTCCCTCATGCTGCCTCAAGCACGAGGCAGGGAAGCAAACAGGGGGCTGGCTGTGTGCAAAGACAGCAAACCGCAAGGGGAGCCTCCCCTTGGAACATCCTGCTTTTGTGGGAATGGCTCCACCCTGTGAGAGCCAGCCCAGGCTTGGAGGAAGGCATGGGTCCATCTTCATGGCCTGCCTGCCTCTCCGGCCTCTCCCAACACCACCTGGCTGGGGGCAGGCCACACTCGGGCACAGCACCAGCCTTTCGAAGCTCAAGTGCTGCTCGCTTTTTTGTTGCCCTCCTTTAGGTGGATTTTTATTGTAATTGTCACTTTCTCGTGTACTATTAGTGTGGAAGTTCCATTTTAACATTTCATCATGTCCTGGCGGCTCCCCTCTAAGTCAAACTCAGATTCTGCTTACGAAGTTGAGACCGACTGAGACCAAGTGAGCTCATCAGGAAGCGAGCTCAGCACTGGCAGAGGCAGGGCTGCAGTGAGGTGGGGCCGGGGAAACTGTGAGCCAGGGTGCAATGAGGTGGGGGCAGGGGCGGTTTGAGCAGGGGTGTGGCAATGGTGAGCAGGGGTGCTTCCTGGAGGCTGAAGAGGAAGCACATGTGAGTGAGCAGGGGTGAGCGGGTCCACCGGCCTGTGGGTTGTATTAGGGAGAAGCAAAGAAGGGCCTTGGAGACAGTGGTGTGTGCTTGAGATCAGGTACGAGGCTGCGGTTCTTGGTCATGATCTTGAGAGGAGTGGCTGACCAGGTGGAGACAAGCTCATGGGAGGGGCGAGACCAGGGCACCCAGCCTGGGGATTGTCACCTGGATGGAGGCAGAAGTGGCAGGCTGCTCAGGCCAGGCGATGCCATGGTGTTCAGAGGGCGTGAGGGCAGGGCAGAGAGGTGGTCCAGGAAAGGCAGGAGCCTCTTGTGGTCTTATGGGGCGTGAGAGAGCAGACCCCAAGGGGCTTCTTCCCCCGAGTTGTCGCGAAGGTGCTGGTCGGGCGAGGCGGTTCCTGCCTCTGCTGAGGATGGATCTGGAGGCAGGGATGGAGAGGGGTCAGACGGGACAGAGGGCTTGGTGGACACCCCCTGGGAGTCACAGGAGCTAGTGAGAGGGTGAGCTGGGGTCTGCTGAGGGTGTGGGGCTTCTTGAAGTGCCTCCTGATCTGGAGTTCCAGTGTGCTTGCTGTTTCTCAGTTCACATGGCCACTGATCTACTGTCTTCTGACCTCCATTCTTCCTCCTGAGCAACCGACTTATCACTCCTCTGCAAGACATTGCTTTCTCTTTGGCTTCCATCTTACTCATTAGAATAAGTAAATATTGTGTGGATGTATCATGCGTACAGAAAAGTCCTTAACATATGGCCATCCTGTTTAACACATCGCCATGATGTGGGCCTGGTGTCCCCGTGAAGACATGGTGTGCTGATTCCCAGGACCCCGTGCCCCCTCCTGGGGCAGGGCCTCCAGGCTCTTGTGCAGAGTGTGTCTCTCTGTGTGTACTGCTGTCACCCTCAAGCATTGTGGCTTGGCTTGTCTGCCTTGAGCCTCGGTGTCCCCTGAGTCACACAGTGTGGGTTCTTTGTGCCTGGCTTCTTGTACAGAAAACCAAACGAGTGCATGCAGAACCAGGGGAGGTACAGGTGGGGTCTGGTTGGTGGCGGCAGCGTTGCCTTGGGGACAGGGCCCGCGTGCCTAGTTGGGGCCCACATCGCCTCTCGGCAGGGCTGTGAGGGGGCACAGGAGGTCTGGATTTCGTTTTTATGGCTTCTGCAAGTCTCAAGTGCTATGAAATAAAATTAAGTGCATCAACTTGGGGGTCCCTTTGTGAATAGGAAATCTTCATGTCCCTCAGTATTGGCTGCCCGCACAGGGGACCTGGCCCACCTGGCCCCGCTGTCAGTTGGGACCTCAGCCTGGTGTTCAGTTGCACCATGAAGTTGCAAGGCTCACTTGCTGATCTTGGGGAATCTCTATTTTGTGGCTTTTTAATCCCCTTGGAACCTAGGTAGTTTTCCTGAGACTCTTCAGGAGGAGCCCATGGCTCTATTTCCAGTGTGCTCAGGATCTGAAGGGATGTTGCTAAGGGTTCCAGCATTTGTGGGGACATCTCACAGTCCTCACTGGGTGGCTCTGGCCAGAAGCAGCCATGAGAATGACGTGGGTGTCAGTCAGCATGTGTCTCGGGGCCGTCCTGCCCTGGCCTAACCTCTTGGGGCTCCTGGCTTTATCTGTCTGTGAACAGAGTGTCCTGTACCAACTCAGGAGCCCCTTGAAGCAGTATTTGTTTTTGTCCATCCTTTTCATTTTCATCGTGAGGGCTCCTTTCATTTGTGTCCCCCCGGGTCCCTGCCGCATGGCACAGAGTGGGTCCCACCACATGAGGCTGTTAGGATACATAAGGAACAGCATTAAAGAAGAGCAAGAATGTGCCCTCTGCCAGAAGAGCTCCACCTCGAGGGTCCTGGCACGTGGTGGGCCACTGCCCCTGCGTGGGTGGAGAAATTCTATGGCGCAGAGTGCTTCTTCACAGCTGGCCTGAGTCAGCGCCAGCCCCTTTTGGCACTGGGGACAGCAGTGGTCTGGCTCATGGGACACCTGGAGGGTCCATCATGCAGCATCCTGGGGTCACCGCTAGCCCGCTCACCAGCCCCTGAGCCCGGAGTGTGTCCCCCACTGGGGTTTGTGTTAGTCACCCTCAGGGTCGGGTGCTATGCCTGCATGAGCTCCTGGCTCTGGTGTTGCTGTCGACTCATCTGCCCTGTCCACTTCGTTGTTCCCTGGGGAGCACCCCGCATGGTCTGTGCTCTCGTGTCTGAAGTCATCTCGCCTCCCTCATCTCACTTTTTAAAAAATGTAAATTTCTTTACTGTGATTTTCTCCACACCACCAGACCATTTAGGCACCAGTCTGTATTCCCTAATACCTTTGCGTCCTTCCCAGACAGATGCAGAAGGGCAGAATTTCATGCTAGGCCCACGTTGGACTCTCACTTGCCCAACCTGGATTGGGGGAGGAAGGGGAGGTGACAGCGGGGGATGGGTGGACACTGAGAAGAAGGCACAAGCTTGGAGCAAGAGAGGGGAGATGACAGAGGAGGAGGGGCCGGGAACTGAGAAGGCTGGCCTGGCTCCTCCAGCCTTGCCTCTTCGTATGGGGGCGACAGAGGCACAGCCAACCAGGACTGGGGTCCCGCCCAACTGGTCCCTTGTGGCATTGTCTAGTGAGCATTGTGGGCTACCAGCGGGCTGGTGCCTGGTGCTGTGAGGGTTCTGTGGCCACAGACACCCTGCTTGTGGGTTCCCCGTCAAGCTGGGGACGTGGGAGGGAGAGGGGGCTGCTGCCTCAAGCCATGCCAGCCAGACTAGGAGAGAGCCAACGGGACCCACATGTCATGGAGGCAGCTCCTGGAGGAGGGTCTGTTTCCCAGAGCAGCGCTGGAGTCCTTGTATCTCAAGGGTCACCCCCGGTAGGCTGGGCTGGTTGAAGCAGACGCTGGAGACGGAGGTGGTGGCATCTAGGGCATTTTCCCACTGGGAACGGCAATGGGCAAGTAGTGGGTAGCAGCTGCCCCAGAGCGATGCCCTGTGGCCCTGCTGGACAGCCCCAGGGCTGGGGCTTCCTACATTCCTTGGCTCTGAGTAGAGGCTTGAGCTCTCCCCCTGGAAGTTTCCCCTGCCTACTCTTGTGGGCCCAGGAGGGGGCAGAAGAGCCATGTAGGCCCCTCAGAGGAGAGTGAGTTAGGCATTGGCCAGAGCTGGGCTGCTCTGTGGTGCCAGCCAGGGCTAGGGCCCTTTCCCTGAGGCCTCTTGATACTGATGCCCTGGCGGGGTGGGGCGGGCACTGGGCAGCAGGTAGGGCTGGCTGTGCAACATGGAGGGGCCCAGGCCCTGGGAGGCCATGCCCCATCCGCCAGCCCCTGGGGGAGGGCACGTTCTGCAGCCTTAGTGCCCCACCGCGTCAGGCAGCATTGACTGCCCAGAAGTTGCCCTTGCTGGGGCTTCACAGGTCCTGAGGCACCTTGGGAAGCATCAACTGGAGGAAAGGTGGTAGCGGTGGAGTCCTTCCAGCTCCCGTGGTCGTCCACGAAGAGGACCCAGCCTGGCTCTCTCCGGGGACCCTGGCCAGCTCCCGCCTGCAGGAGCATGTGGCTTATGCCCCCTTGGCAGCTGTGGCCAAGCAGGTGGGAGCTGGCCGTGCTGCAGGTGCTGCTCCTTCCTCCTCTGGGCCCTGGGTGGGCGACTCTGCCTCCTGCAGCCTGTGTAGGAGAGGCAGCCACGTGGGGTGGGCGAGGTCTGGCCTCATCTCACCATCGGTGGTTGGTCGGTGTGGAGAGTGTGAGCTTGAAGCAGGAGGGGTGTTCTCCGTGAGTCATGCGCCTTGAGGGGAGGGTGAGCGCCTTCTGCACTGACCAGGAGCCCCTGGGCTCTGACTTGGTCCGTGCCAGCCACTCCTCTCACAGCGAGGGCTCTGGGAGCTTGTGGGAGGCAGGTCCCACTCATGTTCATGCGGCATCTGGGTGGAGGCAGCCTCAATCTCTCCTGCTGAACGTGGGGTGGGACTTTTCACTGTGCTTGTGCTGGCCTGTCTCTGGAAATCCCACTAGTTATCTGACGGGCCTGTTTGAGTCTCTCTTCCCCTTGTCCCTTTCTGTGCCTTGAAGTTCTTTGGGAGGTCTCTGACTGTGCCTCAGCCCCCTGTGTTCCTGAGTTGCTTGTAGAGCTGACCACTGGCAAGCTCGTTGGAGATGGACGTACCAAGGGCTGCTTGTGGGTCTTCCCAAACCCTCGATCTTGGGGAAGGACCCTGCCCTGCCCAGGCTCTTCCCTCCCTGGCCGGTACTCTGTCCATGGTGCTGCCCGGGTTCTGGGCCAGTGCTCTCCTGCTCCCGTTCCAGCCAACATGGGCTATCGTGGCGGCCCTTTGCCCTCTCACCATGATGTGGGGTCGGCCTGGGCTGTGTGTCCCCGTGCTGGCAGCGCTGAGCCTTTGGCAGAGCACTCCCCTCCAGCAGCACAGGCCTTGGCAGCACTGTGTGGGCCTCACCCCTGCCTGATGGTCCGTGCTTTTAAGACTTGTCTTGTTAAAATGTGCTGCTGAAGAATTCTGGCTTACTTTGCCCTCTGATTTGGCAGCCCAAGCTTGACTTTAAATGTCATGTTTGAAATCAACCTTGTGTCCCTTGGCCCGTGCCTGCATTTGTGCTTCATTCTCTTTGGTCTCTGTGGACCTGCGGTCTGTCCTGTGAAGCCCAGTTCTGTCCCTCTCAAAGTCGCCTGATAATCTTCACTTTCCTTTGAGCCTTATGACTCTCACCTGTTTCCCACATACAGCATTCTAGGTCTGTTCAAAACTTCTGGCTTAACTGTGTTACTTTTGTTTTTTAACTCATTCGTGACCGCTGACGTGCATTGACGTCATTCCAAATTCTGTTTCTGGTTGCCACTGACATGAATTTACCTCATCTTGGAAGACTGTCTTTTTAGGTTTATAATCTGAATAAAAATACAGCATATAGGATGCTAGTCAGAGTGGTGTCTGAGGCAAATACTGGGTATGTCTGCAACTTTCTACTGTTTTACAAAAAAGGTAACAATTTAGAAAAGACCATTTCACTTGTGCTTTAAGACAAAAGTTTTTGGCAACCAGCTTTATTTGTTTTGTTTTAAGTTTTTATCTGCTCTCAGTATTGGGAAAGTGAGTGTGTTAATTGCTGGTAGTAAAAACAGTACTATTTTCTACCCTTTTTCAGGATATTTATTTTGTAAACTACTTATTAGCTCTTTGTACATGAGTCTAAGCAGTTAGGAGAGTTTTTCCTCGTGGAGAGACACTTTTAGCTGCAGACAGCTGGTTTGCTTTCAGCACACAGCCAGCGTTAAAGTTGGGGGCTCCTTAAGTTTTAAACAAAATGTCCTGTGTATACCTGCTAGCTCATTAGTCTTTCATTTCACACTTGATTGGAAAAGCTGGAAAAAGCACCAAAATACATGCCACTGCGAAGTAGTTTCTGTTCTGTTTATTTCAACCAGAGAAGGAGGCAGCAGGCTGATGAACTCAGTGTTGTGTGGGTCTGGCAGCTTGGGATTGGCCGTCCCTTTCCTCCACTTGGCCTGCGTCAGAAGTTGTCACCGTCCCTCTCATTTCGGATGGTGTTGGCACTCTACCGTGCTGTAACATTTTCTACTAAGTTAGTTTAGAGGTAAAATGAAATCTAGCAGAAACGTTCTGCTGGAACTAAAGGCTTGAGAGTAATGGATATGTGAGTTTTTGAGTGTATTTTTAGAAGCTGTAGACATCGTGGGTAAACAAAACAGGTTTGATGCAGCGCCCCTTGTCTGATGGGGGAACATGTGAACCATGTCTCACGGCGGGTAGCCACAGCAGCCACTCTCCATGCCCTGAACTGTTGTTTCACCAGGCGGGCGCCAATATCGACACCTGCTCGGAAGACCAGAGGACTCCACTGATGGAGGCGGCAGAAAACAACCACCTAGATGCAGTGAAATACCTCATCAAGGCAGGGGCGCTGGTGGACCCCAAGGTACGCTCACCTGTCAGAATCCCCATCCTGTGTCGGGTGTAGACGTTTCTCAGAGAGATGAGTAGGGGTGGGCCTTGCAGAAGCATCTCCAGGAATTGGTGTCATCACACATTTGCCCATTGTTCAGAGGAGTCACTTTGCCTTGCTTGATCACTTGGCTTGTTAATTAAATACACTGGTGAGCACTAGATCCACAGGCCTGGCAGCAGACAGGTTAACGAATGAGGATTTGCTGGGTTAAAGGCGGTGGTGGCCTCCATTTGGTACACAGCCCTTCTCTGTTTTCCACCCAGCGTAGATAGGTAAGAATAAAACAAAAGGCATTCATGTTGGAAAGGAGGAAGTAAAATTATTTCTGTTCACAGATGATACGATTTTATATGTGAAATACTAAAGAACCCACAAATATATTGTTAGCTAACAAAAGTATTCAGCAAAGTAGCAGGATAAAAAACCAACACACAGAAGTCAGTTGCATTTCTGTATCCTTGCAATGAACGATTCGAGAAAGAAATGAAGAAAACAGTTCCGTTTACAATAGCATCAAAGAGAATAAAATACTTAGGAATAAGTTTAACAAACGAGGTGACTTAGGAATAAGTTTAACAAAGGAGGTGAAAGTGTGCTGCAAACTATAGAATGCTGCTGAAAGAAATGAGAGAAGGCCTAAGTAAGTGGGAGGACATCCCATTTTCACAGATGTGTATAGAGTGACCTAGGCAATCTATAGAGTCCATGAAACCCAACGGTTTTTTTTTTTTACACAGATATAGAAAAACTCTTCATATAGTTCATATAGAATCTCAAGGAACCCAGAATAGCCACACAATTTTGAGAAAGAACAAAGTTGGAGAACTCACACTTCCTGATTTCAAAACTTGCTATATAAGGCTACAGTAAGGAAAACACTGTGGTACTGGCATAAAGACAGAAATACAGACCAATGGGATAAAATTAAAAGCCCAGAAATAAACCCTTGTATATTTGGTCACTTGATTTTAGGCACACCTACGAAGAGCATTATGTGGAGGAAAGGATGGTCTTTTTAACAAATGGTGCTGGCACAACTGGATGTCCACCTGCAAAGGAGTGAGGTCAGAGCCTCACCTAACAGCATGTTCAAATATTAATGGAAAGTTGGTCAAAGATCTATACTTAAGAGCTAAAACTGTAAAACTCTTGGAAGAAAACATGGGAGAAAAGTTTCATGACATTGGATTTGGCAACGATTTCTTGGGTAGGACACTAAAAGCACAAAAAATATATAAACTTTATCAAAATCAACAACTTTGTACATCAAGGGTTACTATCAATAGAGTGAAAATAGAACCCACAGAAAGAGAAAATGTATTTGCAAATCTTATATCTGACAAGGAGTATTTTCCAGAATATATAAAGAAGTTCTACAACTCAACAACAACAAATGAAAGAATCCAATTCAAAAATGGGCAGAGGGTTTGAATAGACTTTTCTCTAAAGAAGGTGTGCACATGGCCAGTTAGCACATGAAAAGATGCTCACCATCATTTGCTAGCAGGGAAATGCAAATCAAAACTACAGTGAGATACCACTTCACACCCTTTAGGATGGCTACCCTCTAAAAACTGGAAAATGAGTGTTGGCGAGAATGTGGTGAAATTGGAACCCTTGTGCATTTCTAGTGGTAATGTAAAATGCTGTAGCTATGGAAGACAGTTTGTGGTCCTTTAAATAGCTAAGCATAGAATTACCATATGATCCAACAATTCCACTAGGTATACACTCAAATAAGTGAAAAATAGGGGCACAAACAGATATTTGTACAGCAGTGTTAACTGCAGCCTTATTCACAATTGCTAAAAGATGGAAACATCCCAAGTGTCCATCAACAGATGAATGCATGAACAAATAAATGTGGCCCATCTATGCAGTGGGGTGGCACTCAGCCTTAAAAAGCAGTTCACTTCTGACACCTGCTGTAGCCTGGATGGACCTTGAGGACATTATGTCGAGTGAAAGAAGCTGAACACCGAAGGGCAAACCCTGTGTGACTGTGCTGATGAGAGGTACTGGAGTAGTGAGAGTCCTAGTGACAGGGTGGGTTAGGAGTTTCAGGGGGACAGTGAGTGGATGAGCAATTGATTGCCAAGGGCTGCTTATGACTACAAAGTGCTGGAAATAGAGAGCGGTGATGGGTGTATAACATAATGATTCCATATCATGTATCACCACAACAAAGGCATAAAAAAATTCTTGCAGTCTTTTATATTAACACACAGTTTTTCAACAAAAAAGATTATACTCCCTGTTCTACTTTATCAACTTTTTTCATATCAAATTAAACTTTCACTATTTTTCTTTTATTAAATATTATGACATCATTTCAGTAAACATTTTTATAGCTAAATATTTGCATATGACTTCTTCAGGACAGATTTCTGGGTGTGGAATTGCTGATCAAAATATAGAAACATTTTTAAGGCTTTTTATACCTCTTTGTAAATTGCCCCAGTAGTACCTGAGCACTCATTTCCCTAGCCCTTGCCAATGCTGGGTGTTACAGGTTTGTTTTTTTTAATGTTAATAATCAATATGCAAAAGTGTTTTGGAGTGTTCTTTTTTACTCTTTTAACTTGCTCTGGTTAAAATCAACTTTTTTTTGTATGTAGTTATTCACATTTGTTACAGATATTTTTTCAAGTTTGTATTTAGTCCTTTATTTTGTTTTTAGTGACTTTTCAGATATGGGAGACTTTAGTTTTTCTATAGATAACTATTAGTAGTCCTTGGCCTCATGGCAGGTGAGTAAGCTTCACGTTCACAAATTTGTCTGCTGGGGCGTTTCCCAGCCTTGTTACCAAGAGCTAGTGTACCACAGTCCCCACTGAACTGAAGACGCAAGAGACTGGAGTTCAGGGCTTGCTGACGTGATTGGACCCCCCTGGGCAATCCCTTGGAGAGGAGTGACCAGGGCCGGTGGCGGTGTTGCTGGGGGACAGCTGTGAAGTGTGTGGAGTGGAACACGCAAGGTGCACTTGACAGAGCGAATGTAGTGGAGGAAAGGATTAAGGCTGAAAACGAGACTGAGCCCTAGAGGTCATTCGACCTGCAAAGCAGATGATAGCATCGTGTCAGACTGTCCGCCATGCACACGTAGGGTCCCAAGACCCTGGCGAAAAGGATGTGTTCAAAGTAGCAGTCATAAGTGCCCTAAGTTTGGAGGAAAGCAGCACCTACAGATCTAAGACACGCAGCCAGTCCCAGGACAAGAACAGACAGCACCATACCCTTTAAGCATGGCACACTCAAACTGTCGAAAGCCGTACATGAAAAGATAACCTTAAGACAGCTGGAGAAAAAACAGCATGTCATGTCCAGGCGCAACATCACGAAACATAACTGTCATCTGAGATGAAGGAGGCTTGGGTCAATGGACTGGTATGTGTTGTGTGTTGAAAGTAACAAGACCTGAGAAAAATGAGCCCAGAAGCCTACAGCCAGTAAAAGTATCCTTCAAAAATGAGGGTGAGATAAAACAGTTCTGGATGGAAAAAACAAACAGATAGGATTCATTAGTAGATGTATGCTGAAGAGAATATTGAAACTTCCAGAAGGAAAACACAGCCCTTGGGAAGTGAATGAAAAGCACCAGAAATGGCAAATAATGGAAGACTGTTTCTTCTGTGTATTTCCTAAAAGATAAGAGGCTGTTTAAACAACAGTAATGTGACAAGGTGAAGTTTACACACACTTAGAAGTGCGGAAGTCCTTACTCAGCATTGTTGGTAGGTTCTTGGGAATTGCAACTTTAAGTGGAATGACCAACTTTACTGTAGGCTGGTTGATAGAAGCAAGAGCAGAATTTTGTGGTGAACTTCTGGCCACAAAAACAGCACCAAACTTTTAAAGACAGACCCACATACTTCCAATACTCACCATTGAAGTCAGTGTAAGTGTATACATACACTTCAGAAAGATTACGGGAAATAAGCAAAATCATTATTTATCCAGTTACTCATCTCAGGGTGGTTGGAGCCTTTCCCGGTAGCTTGGGTGGGAGCCAGCCCATAGCAGGGTGCTGTCCCATGGCAGGGTGCGCTTACACCCACACCCCTTGACTCTCCCAGACTAGAACAGTGCAGACATGCCGGTTCTTCTGCTGTCCACACAATTGAGATGTGGGTGAAAGCAGAGTACTGGAGAAAATCCACGCAGATATGGGGGAGAAGCAAACTCCACGGCCATTGGCCCCAGCTGGGAATCCATTTTTCTCCTCATCTTTGTCAGAACAAAATGACATTGCTTGAAGACTTGCTGTAAGATATGTGATAATAGCATAAAGAGAAAGCAGTATATAACTGAAATCTTTCTGTTATAAAGTTGTTTTGTTATTGGAGGTGATAAAGTATTAGTCTAAGTAAATGGATAAAGATTGCTATTGTAATCCCTGGAGAAGGTACGAATAAAACAACAGAAATATTTCTTTATGGAGTGAGGGAAGCAGGACAGGAAGTAAAATGGAATACTGAAAAATAATTTGTGCAACTAAAATACAGGGAAGGAAGAGTAAAACAGATGGGCAGATAGAAAACAAATGGTAAAGGGATAGATTTAAACCTGATTATGTCAACAGTTACACTACAGTAGACTCAACTCTCCTTTTAAATGACAGAGGTTTGTATGACTTGATAAGAAGGCAAGAATCAGTTGCGTCCTTTAGCTGTAGAAATGAAGACGCAGATGTGAGAACAAAAATATGGAAAAACACGAGCCGTGCACAAGAATCAAACGTGAGAGACAGAATTGCAAGTCCTTTAGAACATCACAGGGAAGGCTGCCTTTGGGATCCAGTCAGAGAAGGATTTCTTAAACAGGACACAGAGCGGCATAAGAATAAATGATGGCTGGGTGCGGTAGCTCAAGCGTAATCCCAGCACTTTGGGAGGCTGAGGTGAGGGGATTGCCTGAGCCCACGGGTTCAAGAACAGCCTGGGCAACTTGGCGAGACTTCATCTCTACAACAAATAAAAAAATTAGCCAGGTGTGGTAGCACGCACCTGTAGTTCAGCTACTTGGAAGACTGAGGCTAAAGGATTGCCTGAATCCAGCAGGTCGACACTTGGTTGTTCGTGAGCATGCTGTGACACTCTAGCCTGGGCGACAGAGTGAGACTCTGGCTCAAAAAAAAGAATGAGCGATCAAGTCAGGTGCATTATAATTTAAGAGTTGAGGCCGGGCTCGGTGGCTCAGCCTGTAATCCCAGCACTTTGGGAGGCCGAGGTGAGTGGATTGCCTGAGCCTGTGGGTTCAAGACCAGCCCAGGCAACTTGGTGAGACTTCATCTCTACAATAAAATAAAATGTAAAAAATAGCCAGGTGTGGTAGTGCACGTCTATAATTCTGGCTACTCAGAAGACTGAGGCGGGAAGGCTCGCTGGAGCCCAGGAGGTTAATGGTGGAGTGACTGTGAGCATGCGTGCCACTGCACTCCAGCCTGGGTAAAGGAGTGAGACTCCGACTCAAAAAAAAAAAATAGCATTTAAGAGTTGCTATTCAACAAGAGATGTCACAAAGCATACAGAAAGGCCGTCTACAGACTGGGAGAAGGTTTTGCCAAAACACTGGCAAAAGATGAATATCTAGAAATAGAAAGAACTACAAATAAGGTAAAGCTCCAAAGAAAGATGAGCAAAGAGCATAAATAGGGAGTTTGCAGGAGAGGAAATAGAAAGGGCCAGCAGGCAAGTGAAAGCGTGCTGTCTTTAAGAGGAGGACCCAGGTGCCATTTTTGTAGTCACTGAGTTTCATAAAACCCACTGTGTCGGACAAACCTGCATTGGTGAGGTGCAAGCAGATGTGTTCCTTCCTGCCACTGTGGGGATTGGGTACAAGGATGAAAGTTTGTGTTGCTAAAACACAGCAGTTCTGGGGACACGACCATGGTCAGCTCCTCCACATGGAAACAAGGCAATCGTCACTGTATCTCTAGCAGAAAGTCAGGAACAACTGTGTTCCTCAGCTAGGATTACCTAAACTGGAAATTATTGAACAATTGTGACAAGGTCATCTACCAAGATAAGGCTCAGAGACACAGTGTTAAACCAAATACGAATTGCAGAAGGTGTACACCACTCTGTAGGCTAAAAAGGTATAAAATTGCTTATGGATACATGTGTAGCAAAGTATCACAAGATGCCTCAGAATGATAAAGAAGAAATTCAGCACAGTGATTACTGGGGAGGAGGGAAAAGACAAGAGACAGGGTGCTGCGTGGCATGCTGCCTGGGTGAGTGGTGGCACTGTGTTTTTGTCTGAGTGCGGCTCCGTGACTAGCTGCTCTGGATGGACCAGACAATGGCCTTTCCCCACCACAGCCCTCACGTCTTGTTCTTGCATGGTTCCCCTCGCTGCTCCCAACCTTTCCTGCTCCCAGCCCTTGTGGCCTCTCACGGCCTCTGCCCTTCTTCTGCCTGAGGTCCCAGATCTCGTGCCATCTAGGCTACTTCACGGAGCTCCCTCTCCTGGTGTTTATCTTATAGCTGCTTGAGGCAGAACTGCAGCTCTCTGCCAGCTGCGCCTGCTTCTGTCCTCAACTCTCCAGCAGTTTTCTAGCATTTAGGGATGGTCAGCTGCACCTGTTCCAGTGATTAAGGACACATGAAAATAAGGCATGCCCTTAATCTAGCAACCATACATTTTGCATTTATAATAAAATGATTCTGATCACCAACAACAAGGGATGTGCAGGCTTTTCTTGAGAAAGGGACCTCCTGATGAACACAGTTTGATTAGAAATGTATTACACATTACAATTGGATTGCTGCACTGACAAGAGAAATAAGGGAGAGAGAGGCAGTAAAGGCACATGGTCAGAGAGGATCTGGAAGAGAGGTGAAGGACAAGCCAAGGGAGAGACTGGTGGAGGTGTGACCGTGTGACCTACATAGGACGAGCGCTCTCCTGGAGCTTCCTGGTTCTAACCTCCCCTGGGTCTCTTCTTTTCCTTGAAGTGGCCTGATCCTCTGATCTGTTTAGTGTCTTTGAGGAAACAGAGTTAAAGGCAAATGAGAAGATGTGCCCATAGCCAAAGGAGATGAAAGTCGGCAGGCAGAGTGCGTGCCGTGGTCTGCGGGGATGTGGGTGGGCTGGCCCCTCTGCCTCGTCCTGTTCTTTTTGTCATCTCTGATTATAATTTCTGTGGCATGTGGACAACTACTGCTGAGTCATTCGCACTGGTTTAAACAAGCTGTGTGACCATTAACTCGGGCCCAGTGAGCAGCAGGGTTTGTGGACAGGACTTGAGTCCTGGCTGTACCTTCGGAATCAGCCTTGCCCCTTGGCCTGGATCTCCTTGTCATGCCAGCAGGATGGTTAGTCCCTCACTCGTGGTGGGCACAGGGTCCTTCTGTGGTCCTGCGTTCAGGCTGACATACTGGAGTTACAGTGTGGTTCCTCTGACCTAAATGGTATTTGTGTTGCAGGATGCAGAGGGCTCTACGTGTTTGCACTTGGCTGCCAAGAAAGGCCACTATGATGTGGTCCAGTATCTGCTTTCGAATGGACAAATGGACGTCAACTGCCAGGTAAAGCCATGCCTCCCGAGAATGACAGTGCCCTGCCTGGACCCAGCTGCTGTTCTCATTCTGCAGCCGCCCTGGTCCCACCTACCTCCAAGGCTTGCCTTCTGCCAGAGGGTTAGCCAATCCTGGGGCCCTGGAAGGCCACATCCTCTCCCTTTCTCCCTGGTCCATCTGCAGGCTCACTCCCAGGGCGGTCTCTGCACTGTCCCCCGTTGGGACTCCTTGTGTCCTCTTGGGCTGCCCCGAGCTCCGTCAGGTCTGTGTCTGGATGTTACCACCTGACAGAGGGCCCTGGCCTCTGTGCTCCATGACAGCCCAGCCCTCTCTGTGGCAGCCTGTCTTCCTTCCTGCCCAGCTCGTTCCCTGGTACTGGCCGCCATCTCCTGTGTGTTGGCTCTTTTTCTGCTTATCTGTCCTCATCCCACTACCAGGACTACAGGACAGGGCCTCTGCCTTTTGTACTTAAACCTGAGTTCTGTGGAGCATACTCAGTGCTGACATAGAGTGAATACCTGTAGCTACTCGTTGTACTGGGGAATGCTTGGGGAGAACAGAGAATGGCAGGCCCAACGCCATTCAACACGCACTGGGGTTCCTCCCTTGTGCACTCGTGGCTCTGGGATGGGTCTTGTCTTCATACTGTCCCTTCCCTCAGGGGGCTCTGACTGCATCTTTTAGTCCAGGCCTTGTCTGCTCCATTGTTCACGCCTAGGCTCCCAGGCCCTCCGAGGCCTCAGCCCTGCCGCAGCAGTTCACAGGCTGGGCCCTCCCTGTTCACTCCTCTGAAGCACCCCGAGTCTGTTCTGCCTCCTTGCCTCTTTGTCCTTGTCCATCTGGCCGGGTTGCTGTGAGTCCCCAACTGGGACTAACTCTGGAGGTAGCTCTGTGCCATTCCTGCCGTATTCCCAGGGCTTGCAGTGCCACACTCACCTGCAAAGGGAGGTCAGTCTTAACAGTGGAAGCTGCTGTGTGTACCAACAAAATGTGGGGCTGTGGGATGTGCAGAGAGTCCTTTCAGAGGTGTTGGGGAGGAGGCCATGTCTTCTGCCTCCAGGCCAGACACTGGCTGCATGACGCTCTGCCTGAAAAGTGTCCCTTTTTTTTTTTTGGCTTAAATGAAACTATGCAGGACCACTGGGCACACTCGGGGAGCAGGAGGAAGCCAGCTCAACAAAACCCTGAACGGCCCACAGACCAGACTGGCCTGGGTGGGCATCCTGCTCCCCCTCCTCAGGAAGGGGCGGGGCAGGGGTGCTGGTCTCTGGCCTGGGTGTCCATCTATCCGTCCCTGCCCGCAGCTCTTGGCTGCTGCTCTGATGGGTCTGACTCTCATGCTTGGAGCCATCACTAGGGCTTGCACTGCCAAGCCTCATGGTGCTCACTGGGTCTGTCTGGGCTCACGGTTTAGGGTTCCTGCTTAGTTACTGGAGCATTTTTCTCTGGAGTGTAGACGTGTTCCCCCAAAGGAACCTGACTTGGAGAGGGCAAGGCAGCTTGGGGTTCCATCTGCCTGACATAGTGGGGCTGTGTGCATGCGGGCGGTGGCCTGGCTCTGCCTCCACTCCACACTCTCTGAGCTGCCTAGAGTCCCTTGCGTGAGGACATGGCATCCAAGAGATCCAGAGCCCTTGCAGCAGGAGCCCTCAGCATCCTTGCAGCCGCACGTCTCCCCTACCTCTGACAGGGCCTGTTTTCTCTCTTGATGCCAGGATGATGGAGGCTGGACACCCATGATCTGGGCCACAGAGTACAAGCATGTGGACCTTGTGAAACTATTGCTGTCCAAGGGCTCCGACACCAACATCCGGGACAACGTGAGTGTCTGTCGTCAGGACCCCGGAAGTGGGTCCTGGAGAGGGTGGGTCCAGGTCACCCTGGGCTTGGCTCCCTTGAAGGTTCTTTCTTCTCAGATGCGGAGCCCTAGTACCTGTGGCGGCTCTGACCTCCTGCAAGGTGGAGTACACGCAGGTGTGGGGGTCCCTTGCCCAGGGTCTACGTGTTTAGAGCATTCGCTGCTGCTCTGCTTTCCCTTCTGCTTCCCCACGTGACTGTGACGGGGCCCAAGGACAGTAGTCAGTGGCTGGTGACGCGTGCTGGGGCCATGGCACCACTGACTCCACCCTCGAAGAGAAGCCGGAGTGAGTGGGTGGCCACAACATGGCTTCCTGAACTGTGATTCAGGCGTCTCATTGGTGGCTAGTTTTGTAGTACCCATTTGTTTGCCCAGAAAGTAGGGTTCAGAGCTGAGGTGGGAGGATGCTCCGGTCCTCTGGGGCCACTCTCTTTCAGCTTGTGACAGCTGAACACAGCAGGTGGCTGATGAACTTAAAAGGGGCCTTACTGGAAGGTCTTCAGGGACCCACAGAGCCTGTGGCACGCAGGCAGGTCCTGTGGGTATGGGCGTGATAGAAACAGTGAGGGGGCCTTGGGTCGGCTCCTGGGACAGACTCGATGTGGCCCTTAGAGCCATGTTCGCCTCTATGGAGAGTCTCCAGAAGCCAGACATGCGAAGTCCAGCCACAAATGAACCCTTTAAACTGACAAGCCAGAAGGCTTGGCACAAAAAGATCTCTAGAAGATACTATTAAGTATCTTGTGTGTGGGAACAGCAGATTCTGCCTCCCACCTAGAAAAAGGGACTGCCATCCGCCAGTGTCCCCAGCCTCCCTCGGGCACACAGGCCTTTCCGTGGCAGCCTGTCCTGGGGCTGCAGCAGCTCTCCTGGGCTGTGCCTGAGCACAGGGCTTCTGTAGCTGGTGTCCAGCCCTTGAGGGTGTTTCTGCCTCCTCCTACCAGAGTCTGATCCCACTGGGCATTAGGACCGTGGTGCCATGGCAGGAGGAGCCGTGAGCTGGTGGAAGGCAATGGGGAACCTTGAGGTGAGGGTTGAAGGGAAGCAAAGTCGAGGGACCAAGTCTGAGGCAGCCACAAACAGTGGTCAGACGCAGCTGAGTGTCCCTGTCCAGGTGACCTCCTGGGAGACTATGTGGTGATGCAGGGCGGCCCAGCCCACGTCCTGGCCAGCTACGGTACCCACCTTGGTGTGTAGTCAGTCCAGGTGCATGGGCAGCGCATAGCCTGTCCGGGTTCCGTAGGCATTAGCTCTGTGGTCCTGGCGGTTGTTCCCATGAGATGGAAGAATTGATTACATTTCAAATTGTTTATTTACATGATAGGATGCTTTATTAATTCAACTGCTTTGTTGATGTGTAATAGGCAGACTCCGTGTACTGGGTGAGTTTTAACTGGGGAAAGCATCCCCCAGGGTAAAGATGGGGAGTCCCTCACCTACTCCCTGGAGTCTCCTGCCTCGTGCCCATGCCTGTGCCCACGCCCACACTGCCCAGTGGCCCACGGTTTGGCTCTTCCTTCACTGTGGATCAGTTTGCAGGCTCCAGTATTACATAAAAGGAGCCCACGTGGTGTCCTGCTTCCTGTCAGCATGATCACTCTGAGAGCTGTCCGTGCTGCTGTGCCACTGGCTCCTTTTGGTTGCCCTGGAGTTTTCCTTCATTCAGATGTGTCTCAGCCTGTCCATCCTTACCTGCTGGAGGCATGTGGCTTGCTTCTAGGTTTTGGCCCTCAGGAAGAGAGCTGCTCTGAATATGTATACATTCCTTCATTTCTCATGATTAAATACCTGGGGATAGAGTAGCTGGGTCATACCCACAGATGGGCACGTTTGATTTACTTAGCTGCTTTCCAGAGTGGCTGTGCTGTTTCTAGTCTTCGAGAGTCCTGGTTTCTCCACATCCTTCTCAGCACTTGATAGGGTTAGTTTTCTAATATCAGCGATTTTGTAGGTGTGTAATAGTATCTCACTGTGGTTTTATTTTGCTTAATTTCATTTCCATGATGGATGACATTAAGCACTTTTATTTTTTTTTTTTTGACTTGGAGTCTCACTCGGTTGCCCGGGCTGGAGTGCAGTGGCCGCTTCCGGCCACTGCAGCCTCACCTGCTGGGCTCTGGCGATCCTTCCACCTCAGCCTTCCGAGTAGCCGGAATTACAGGCATGCGCTACCACGCCCGGCTGATTTTTTTATTTATTGTAGAGATGAGGTCTCGCTGCCCAGGTGGGTCTCGAACCCGCGAGCTCAGGCCATCCACTCACCTCAGCCTCCCAAAGGCGGGGGATTCCAGGCTGAGCCACCGAGCCCGGCGACATTAAGCACTTTTTATGGGCTTATTTGCCATCCACATAGCTTCTTTGTTGAAGGGTCTATTCAAATATTTTGCTTGTTTTTTTTTCGTTGTTGTTGTTTTGTTTTGTTTTTAAGTGGCGGTCTCACTCTGTCACCCAGGCTGGAATGCAGTATCATGACTGCAGCTCACCGCAGCCTTGACTCCTGGGCTCAGGTATTCCTCCGGCCTCAGCCTCCCAAGTTGATTTATTTATTTATTTTCGTAGAGATGAGGTCTTGTATGTCCCTCAGGCTGGTCTCAAGTGCCTGGGCTCAAGTCATCTCCTGCCTCAGCCTCCCAAAGTGCTGGGATTACAGGTGTGAGCCTTGTCTGGCCTGTGCTTTCTTGACCGATGTCGTTTTCAGTAGGCTTTGAAATCGCCCCAAGTGGAAGCACCTCATGGCGCCCTTTCATTTCTCCCTCCCAAGCTTTATGGTGTTACTCTCCTGCCTTTTGCTTGCACGTGTTTCCCAGACGGCACGGTAGCCACGCTGCTGACCTCGCTCGAGCGGCCGTCTTTTCAGAAGTTGTCGGAGAGTCCGGCTTTGCTCTGCTGCCTCCATCTCTGCTTCTTCCGCCGCGTGGACTCCGGCTTCCGTCAGAGACGCCATCTTCCCGCTGCTCGGTTAGGTCGGCGAACTGAGTCAGTGTCGTGGGCATGCAGAGGGTTGCACAGAAAGCAGGTTGGAAAGAGAGTTTGTCCAGACAGTTGGCTAGAGAAGAGTGTATTCACTTCTTACGGGAGAGACAGGCCAGACGCGAAGAAAAGTGTGGCCCCAAGTGTTTAGGTCTGGGGGCTTATAGGGCTTTCCTTTAGAGGTTTGAAAAAGATCTCGGATACCTTTTTTTTTTAGGGTTTGCAATAGATACCGTTTCCAAAACGATTCACTGGGTCTGCAGGCAGGCAAGCCTTCTTGGGTCCGATAACACGGAGAGCTCTTGGTGATGGTCTGTTTCTCACATCTCTGGTGACTGGTTAGATGGGGGGTGGTCAGTCACAGAGACTAGAGGGGCTGGGCTGGTAGCTGGAAGACAAATTAGTGGAACTAGTATGAGATGTTAATGTTAACATCTGTGACCCGGTAGACTGAAGCTCATCTGGAGGCCGGGAAACTGGTGGTTCTTCTAGTTAACCATTGTTGCTGTGCGTGAAGCATTGACCTCAGTATGTGACCAGATCTACTCTGGGTGACCAGAGAAACTCTTTTGGGTTTTGTCCTTTCATAGTCTCAGCGCCTTTTACATTTCTTATAGTGTTGGTCTGCTCATGAGGAGTTTTTTCAGCTTTCTACTGCCTGGGAAGTACTTATTTCCCCTAAGTTTTAGAAGCTATTTTTACTGGGTTTTGATTCTAGATTGACAGTATTTTTTCTTTCAGTGCTTTAAACATGTTGCTTCCCTGTGTCTTCACTTGCAAAATGTGCAGTGAGAAATCTCCTGTCATCCTCATCTTTATTTCTCTGAATATAGCATATATGTTTTTCTCATGGCTGTTCTTAAGTTTTTTTCTTTATCACTAGATTTTAGCAATTCGATTATGTGCCTCCATGTTATTTTTGTCTGTGTGTGTGCTTAGGGTTCATTGAGCTTGGATCTGTGGATTTAGGGTTTTTGTAAGATTTGTAAGTTTTCAGTCATTATATTTTTAGATATGTTTTCTGCCCACCCTTCCTTTCAGTATTCCAATTATATGTGTATTAGACTGCTTGAAGTTGTTCCACAACTCACTGATGGTACTTTTCAATTTTTTGAAATTATTTTTTTACTCTGTATTATAGTTTAGCTGGTTTTAATTGGTGTGTCTTCCAATTCACTATTTTTTCGTTTGCAATGCACATTAGATTGTTAATCTCATCCATTATATTTTCATTTCAGACATTATGGCTTAGCTCTAAAAGTTGTTTTGGGGCCCGATGTGGTAGCTTTTGCCTATAATCCCAGCACTTCGGGAGGCCAAGGTAGGAGGATCACTTGAGCCTGAGCAACACAGCGAGATCTTGTCTTTACAAAAATAAAAAAATGAACTGGGTGTGGTGACATGAGCCTGTAGTCTCAGCTACTCTGGAGGCTGAGGCAACAAGATCGGTTGCACCTAGGAGTTTGAAGCAGTGGTAGGCCACGATCATGCCACTGCACTCCAGCCTTGGTGACAGTGAGAACTCAATTGAAAAAAATAAGTTTGTTTTTTCCTTTTCAAAGACTGGAGTCTTTTTAGTATTTTCTAACATGTCTCAACTTAATTTTTGAACATGTAGAATACAGTTAAAGCAGCCATGACCTTGTTTGCTACGTGTAACATCTATGTCAGTGCTGGGTTTTGAATGATTGGCTTTTCTGCTCATTCTGGGTCCTGTTTCCTGCTTCTCAGCGTGCCCAGTAACCCTTTAGCTAGATGCCACATGTCAGGAATTTGCCTTCTAAAGTTCTGGGAATCCTGGTCTTATGAACATTTTTGAGCTTTGTTCTGGGACACAGTTGAGTTACTTGAAATGAATCTCATCATGTTGGATTTTGCTTCTCAGGTTTGTTGGGTGGGTCTGTGTTCCAGCCTTGTGGTCTATGTTTCTTGAGAGCGTTTCCTGCCTGACTGGGGGGACAAGCACTGACTTTGGGGCACTTCCTCACAGGTGTGTGGCCACCAGTGCCCTGCTGGATGTCCCAGATGGAAATGCACAGGTCTCTGAAACTTCCTGGAGTTCTGTCATCTGCCTGGACATCCAGGCAATTGTCTGGTCCCTACATATGCTGTGGCTGGAGTCTCTCCAGTCAGCGAGCCGGGCAGCCTCAGGCTCCCTAATTGTTCCACTTGTCAGGGATCGCGGTCTTTCATTGTCCAGTGTCCTGACAACCACAGTCACACAATTTGGCCGTTTTGTTTGACTCTGTTGGTTCTTTTAGGTGAAAGGGTAAATCAGTTCTGGTCTGTAAATCAGTTCCCACCTTTAGGAAGCGGATGCCATCTCTTGCCTTGAAAGTGAGAATGCTTGCAAGGTGTAGGCCAGGCCTGTTAAAATGGACTTCAGAAAGGCTGGGCAGTTAAGCAGTCTCAGGATAGGACAATCTTAGGTGAATTGGAGATTCTCAAAAATGTAATTCCGGTTATAAAATCATAAATCATTTTGACAAAGGAAAAAGAAAAGAAACCCCCTAAGGAAACCATTATTTGTTCATGGAGCTCTCAAATGTACAGAGGATGGAAACCAGGAACAAAGACCAGAGGGAGAGAAAAGCTACTAAGAATAACACCCAGAGGAGAAAGTCTCAGATAATCTAAGGTTTTTCAGAAAATACTGAGGTTGACCAAAAGGAGTTTGCTTTTAGTTTTCTCTCTTAGAAATAGAGGAAACAATAAAGCCTGCGCTTGGGGCTGGAGTTGTTCATTGATGAGGATAGTGGATAAGACCACTCAGTTTCTGTTTTGCTTTTATCTTTCTTAATGTTCAGTGAGCTGAAAAGATGGTACTGTACAATGTGGAGATCGGAGGGAGATGGTGCCGGAAGCAGCAGAATGCCACAGATGGGCCCATGTTCCTCCTGTCGGGGGATGAGGCCCTGAGAACCTGCAATCAGTCCCTGGATATGGTGCAAGTGTGTGGCCCTTGGCGGGTGATGGGGCAGAGCCCAGTGGAGCCGCACCCACTCATCCAGGGAGACCCGTGTCTGCAGGGTCACTCACTGTAGGGGTCTGCCTTGGGCGCCAGGTCTCCTGCAGCCCCTGTCCCCAAGTGGGTAGTCAGGCTCCCTGTTGGTGGCCCCTGTGAAAATCGTGGGAGATTCCTGAGGGGAGGGGACCACCTGAGCAGAGTCCCAGCACTGAGGAGTTAACCTGGGAAGCAGCTCAGGAAACAGAAAAGACTAAGCGTTTTCCGGCACTGCCTTCCAGAACTCAGCACAGATATAAACAGATGTTCAGTAAAGTGGTGGTCCTGAGTGGAGCGCAGACAGCATTCTCATGCCTGTGTAGGGGCCTCAACTTGTGAAGTTGTGGGGGACGGGTGGGGTCGGAGATAGGCTGGCAGCAGGGATGGGAGGCGGGGGTGGGTGTTTCTCATCTGTTTGTTGCTGCTTTGTCCCTAGTATAATAGCGTTAAGTGTTACTTTATTGTTTTAATTTATATTCTTGGCTATCTGGCAAGGCTGAACATTTTCTGATGTTTATGTTTACTCTTGATCTTTTTAATGTAAGTTTTAAAAAATGTTCATTTCCTTTACTCATTTTTTTCAGAATTGTGGTGTTCTGATGACTTACTGTGTAATTATAAATCATATATTTTACATCTGGCACAAAGTTCTTCCAGATTTTTTAGTTTTGTTTAAAATTTTTATTTTATAGAGGCTCTTTAAAGTTAGTTTTAATTTAACCAAATTTGCTTATTATTTTCAAATCTTACACAAGTGTTATCCTATCCTATGACCGTAACTCTGTTGGAGACTGGTTTATTATGTATGAGGGGGACCCAACAAAACTGGAATTATCTTTTTTTTTTTTTTGTGGGCAAGTCCCTTGTAGTACAGGCTTCTCCCTGCTAGGTGAGTGTTCTAGTAACCAATCAGCACCCGTGTACCAGCTAGCATTGTTATGAGAGGCTGCATTCGGCTTCAGTGAATTTTTGGGGGGAGATTGTTTCAATGCAGTTGCCCATTTAGCAACGAGTATACACTTTGCTGAGTGTGTTCAGCAGTTTTTGACCAAAACTGGCATGACCTCCATGCCCCCCCCTTCCTAGTCACCTGATCTCACCCCTTGTAACTTTTTTTTTGTTTTCACAATGAAAAAAGTCCTCAGAGGGACACGTTTTGCCAGTGTGGAAGAGGCGAAACAAAAAGGGCATCAAAATGAACGCGTTCAAAAACTGTTTTGAACAGTGGAAAAAGTGTCTCAATAGGTTTATTGCATCAAATGGAGAGTTCTTTGAAGGTAATGGAAGTATGAACATGCAAGGATAAATACAGTTTTTTATAAATAAGTTTAGGTCTTTGGAGAGTCCTCCTCATGTGCGTATTTCTTAAGAGTCAGAGTCTTGCCCTGTTGCTGCTAGCCTGGTGTGCAGTGGTGTAATCAGAGCTCACTGTAGCCTCAAACTCCTGGGATCAAGCTATACTCCTGCCTCAGCCTCCCAAGTCGCTGGGACTGCAAGAGTGTGCCACTGTGCTTGGCTAATCATTTTTCTTTTGTAGAGATAGGGTCTCACTTTGTTGCCGAGGCTGGTCTCAAATTCCTGGCTTGATCTTCCTACTTGGGCCTCCCAAAGCTCTGGTATTGCAAATGTGAGCCACTGCACTTGGCCTGAATATAATTTTTAAAAATAGGTAGAAGAAAAGTGCCCTCAAGTGTTAATATGTTGTGTTTAGGTTGGTGTCATTCTGGATGATTTTTTCCTTTTAAAACAGTTTGTACTGTAATTTTGTCACCCTTCAGCTGAAGGGGAAAAAAGATAAGTACCCTTCAGAGTTCACATGAGTGCTTTGTTCTCTTGTCTGATGAACTGTGAAACCCCTTTCTGTTTGGCCATTGCTGGGAGTGGCTAAACACCCTCCCAGAGTGGCCTCCTTTGCCTGGGCCTGGCATCCTGTGCTGGCCAGAAACCACCTTCACGGGCTCTCGCTTGTGTCTCTGCTCAGGAGGAGAACATTTGCCTGCACTGGGCAGCGTTCTCAGGCTGCGTGGACATAGCTGAGATACTGCTGGCTGCCAAGTGTGATCTCCACGCCGTGAACATCCACGGAGACTCACCCCTGCACATTGCTGCCAGGGAGAATCGCTACGACTGTGTCGTGTGAGTGTGGCACTGCCCCGGCCCTGGCCGCTGGATGGTTGTGTGTTTGCACTGGGCCTCTTGCTGGTGCAGCCCCTGGGGTAGAGGAGCGTCCTTGGTGTTCCACAGCGCCACGTCTTGCCTGGTTCCCATTTGAGCTCCGCTGTGGTTTATTTCTGGTGTAGGCATGATTGTCATGGAAAATCCCTGGATTCTGAGCTCACGCCTTGAGTTGAGTCAGAGTCCTGACCTGAGGTGGGGACAGTTCTGCTACAGGCAGGAGGCCTGCTCGCTTCGAGGCCCCAGAGGCTCTGGGTGCTCCCTGGGAGCGGCACCCGTAGCCAAGGCCAGAGAAATGGGGATGCTGGCACTGGCTGCTCAGGGCCCTTGGGAAGTTTGAGGCCTCGTCTCCCAAGCCGTTCACCGTCGGGTTGTGATTAGAGTCCTGGGATGGAGGCTTCCTTCTGCTGCTGGGGAGGGACAGGGAGCTGGGTCCTGCCTGGTCGTGTGACCTGCAGTGACCCCCCGACCTTTCCTGGAAAGGAAGGAATGGAGGTAGCCTCCTCCGTTTGGGCCTCATGACAGCCCAGCTGACTGGTTGTCTGTCTGTGTGAGGCCCCGGCTGCACGTGCTGCAGCCACTGTGTAGACTCGCTGGCCTGGACGCTGTCTGCCAGGACTGCCTTCTGGCGCTTCTCCGTCGTCACTTCCCTCTGTGTCCTTGAGGGTGAATCTGGATGGAAAACCCAAGAAGCTCGAGTACCATCCTGGTTCTGTTTGCAAGTCCCTGCTGAGAAAGCAGTGGGATGACTTGGGCAGTGGATGTGGGAGAAAAGTCGGGGCTATGTTTGGGGAGAGTTAAAGCTAGGCTTTTCAGAATCGCTGGTGAGCAGATTTGTGAGGGTTATTTCAAAATGAGTAGTGTGTGTTCTTTATTTTTAGCGAGTATAGTCATTTGGTAAATCCCATCAGTGTAATCTCTTAAATTTGTTTTGTTGGCTTACATTTTTCCTTTTAGCCTCTTTCTTTCTCGGGATTCAGATGTCACCCTAAAAAACAAGGAAGGAGAGACGCCATTGCAGTGTGCGAGCCTCAACTCTCAGGTGTGGAGTGCTTTGCAGATGAGCAGGGCCCTCCGCGACTCAGCCCCCGACAAGCCCCTCCCTGTGGAGAAGACGGTGAGCAGGTGAGACGGTCCCAGGAACCGAGATGGTTCTGTAGCCATGGCTGATGAATGGGGCTTTTTAAAGAGCTTGGTGTGAACGCTTCTTCTGAAGCTGGAACATCCCCAGGCCAGAGTCCACTTCCTTGGGCCCAGGGTCCACCTTCGCAGGTCTGGGGGCCTGCCGGCCGCTCTGTTGCACTCTGTGTCGCCCTGCTGGGCAGAGCTTAGCAACGCAGAAGGTGACACCTGCTGTTTCCTGTGGCAGAGACATTGCCCGAGGCTATGAACGAATCCCCATCCCCTGTGTCAACGCGGTGGACAGTGAGCCGTGCCCCAGCAACTACAAGTACGTCTCTCAGAACTGTGTGACATCCCCCATGAACATTGACAGGAACATCACTCATCTGCAGGTCAGTAGTGGCGGGAGAAGGGCTGGCTCACGCCACGTGGGTCCAGGCACAGGCCTCTGAGTTGGGCCTGGGGTCCCGGACTCTCCTCTCCACTCTCAGAGCAAGAGGGCTCATGGGGAGCTTCCCAGGCAGACCCCACTCTCTCTGCAGGTGCCTCCCACATAGATGTGGGAGCACATAAAGATCCTCCCAGAGTAGATGTCTTGAGTCCAGCGGTGGGCCCTGGGCTGTCCTGCTGTCTTCTGAGGGCCTTTCTTTGGCCCCACAGCAGCACCAAATGTCCCTCAGCTGGAGCTGGGCAGGCCCCTGGTGCTGCCTCACCCTAGGAGAACGAGTGGAGGAGCCCTGTGCAGGACCTGTGGGGGACCTGGGTCCCCGTGCCACAGTCCTGCCATCCCGCTCTCAGCCTCTGTGGTCCTGGAGGCCCTGAAGCCTGTTCCTTCCTTTTCTGCTGGAATCAGACATATTCTCAGGTGCTTTCCTAGTGGCTTTGCTTGGAGGTGGTGCCTCTATCCTCCAGGGTCAGCGAACCAGGCCTTGGCTCAGTGTATGTGGGTTCTGTGTCCTCGCCTTTCCCTCGAGTGCCTGGCCTTTAACTCCTCGGGGCCTGTGCCCCCCAGCTCCTCACCGTCCTGTGTCACCTGCTGCGACATTGCTGACCCCGCACCTCCTGCCCCGCCACAGGGGCCTCGTCTGGAGCCCTTCCCATATGCACTGTACATCCTCGGGGACCTGGGCCCACTCAGGCCTGCTTGCTCTCTCCCTAAGAAGCCACATGCTTCGTTGGTGTCCTTGAGAAAGCAGGCGTCAGAATGAGGGTTACCCTGAGAGCTGAAAACCACATGGTGGTGGGGCTGGGCAGATGGCACAGACCGCCCCTCCTGGTAATACGCCTCTCTTCTCAGTACTGCGTGTGCATTGACGACTGCTCCTCCAGCAACTGCATGTGCGGCCAGCTCAGCATGCGCTGCTGGTACGACAAGGTGAGGACAGCCTCCGCGCACGCGCTTCTGTGGTAAGTTCTGCTCGGGGTCTGGTGCCAAGGCCGTCCTGGCAGCTTGGGAAGGAGGCGTCCAAGGTGAGCTGGGCAGCAGACAGGAGGGACGAGTGGTAGGCGCCCAAGGCAGGGTGTGGGCCGTGCACCGGGCTGCAGCATCCTTAATGGCGGGGCGGCCGAGGGGCCGCTGGCAGTCCTGGCTGGTAGACATGGCCTGGCGGTGGGCGGAGATGGTGTTTTGCCAGTTGTGCCTGTTGAGTGTGCATGGTCCGACCCCTGGTGGAGAAACAAAGGCAGAGTTGAGCCGGAGGAGTGCACGTCAGTGGGTGCAGTGGCCAGCAGGCACAGGCTTGGAACGCTCCGGTGGCTGCAGTGAGGCCACTGAGGGGGACAAGGAGAGAAGGACTCCTGGTGGCCGGGACGCTGTTCAGGGAAGGAGTATCCACGTGGGCGCCACTGTGGATGTTCTTGGTCTTGTGTTTGGAGGCCATTGGTGGGAGCAGGAGCCAAGGTGTCCTGGGTGAAGATGAGGTGTGAGCTGGGAGCATAGGTGGCAGCAGGCAGTGCCTTCCAAGCATGGACTGTCAGGGGCGGGGCAGCCATGCGGGACAGCGTATTGTCGGCTGAACAAGAGACCTGGTGGGAGAAAGGTGGAGGTAACCGGCCCAGGAGGCCGTCAGGCCCATATCTGGGCTCTTGTCCTCGTGTGGACGGTCCTGCTGCAAGTGGGTTGAATGGGCATTCTGAGGAAGGTGCCTGGGCGTTGGGCCTTGGAGCCATCAGGCCAGTGTACCCACTGTTGCTGTACCCGACCTGCGTCAGGGTGAAGGGGAGCAGGTGGCTGGGTCCTCCAGAGGTGAGGATCTGAGTGGCAGTGAGACCAAGTATGGAGGGTCCCGGAGGTGCTACGACCTCACAGAAGTGGAGGCACCCTCAAGGCTGAGACAAGGAGGAGGGTTGGGATGGCCATGACTCCTGGTTGGCCCGAGACTGGCCCACACAGGGCCCCGGGAGCTCTCAGGTGTCCCCACGGCCCACCTGGCGTCCGGGAGACATCCCACTGCAAACACAGAGCTTTATCCTATTGGCTCCCTCTGGTGTTAAGGCTTAACCAGAGCCATTGTTTTTATGTCAGTTGAGGCTACACTGGGTACTCTGTAGAAATGCACTAATATCGCTTCACTTAAAAAGAAGGTGAGTGACTCCGGTGGGTCCTAATGGCATATCTGTCTGCAGGATGGCCGACTCCTGCCAGAGTTCAACATGGCAGAGCCTCCCTTGATCTTCGAGTGCAACCATGCGTGCTCGTGCTGGAGGAACTGTCGAAACCGTGTTGTGCAGAATGGTCTCAGGTGAGGGGGGCTTCCTGCTGGTGCCCAAACTCTGCTCTTGTACCTGTACATGTGGGCACATGGCGCTCACTCCGACAGACAAGAACCCAGTGTTTGCAAGCACACATGTGCATGTCTGCAGGTAGGGCTGGTGACTTACCTCTGTGCCCTGCGTCATCTGGAGCCGCCGTAGGTGCCCTAAATAACTGCGCCTCCACCTGCTCAGACTGAGGCTTGAGACATTTGTGGGGCCATTTGAGCTAAAGCCGAGGAACGGACTCGGCATGAGAATTACCTTTTGTTGCCAAGTTCATGCATACATCCTCCAACAGATTGGGGTTATTATCCTTCTATTTTAACACTCAAGTCGTTCTCTAAATGTTCTGTATTCTATGGGCTTCTCTCACAGAGAGAGCATGATAATGTTCTAACACTTTTCAAGCTGCACGGACTCCCTGTTCCTAAGCTGCTTGAGGCACATGGTCAAGCAGGGCCTGCCCGGCATCCCTCAGCAGCTGGGCTAGGACCCTTTCCTTGTGTCCCTTGAACTCCCAGGGCCAGACTTCCCCTTCCCCTTCGGGACTGGTCTTGAACTTTCCCTCCACTAATGAGCCTGAGATTCGAAAACCTCAAGCCCCCTCCAAGTTATAAGGGAAAATTAAGCTCACTGTAAATTTAGTTGAACATGAACTTTCTTAGTGTTGTGCCTCTCCTGTACCCTCAGTAATCGTGGTCCGTGCTGAACTGGAGGACAGTGTCTGTCCTTGTGTGTGTGGGGAGAGTCCCGGGGGCAGAGGACAGACACACCCGCAGGACACGGTAGATAGGTGCCACAGGTGGGCAGATGGGTGCATGTAGTCCTTGGAGGGTCCACAGAGGATGGTCCCATCCTGTGCTTGACCAGCCACCCAACCCCCAACCCGGAGGAGCCTTCTAGCTCCTTGCTGTGGATGTCGCTGTCCAAACTGGGGTGTCACGGGAGCCTGACTCAGCGGCAGTTCCTCCAGTGTAGTGCCTCTGGTCCTCACAGTATCGGGTGGTCTAGGCCCAGCCTTGTCCCGTGTTACATATGGGGACAGGGAGGCTCAGCCAGGACTGGTCACTTGCTAGGGTCACAGACTGGTGTGTTCCGGCCGGATTTCCTGGTCTTCTGCTTCCTAAGAGTATGAGGTGCTGGTGTGAGAGGTGACTGCAGCATCTCCCATTCCAGACTCGGAACCAGTTTTCCCTCCTCTGCTCTGTCACTCACTTCATTGCTGGGGTGCAGCTGGGTTTGCTGACCATCATGGCAGGTGGCTGCATCTGTGGCCTGGGCCCTTCAGCACTCTCACTGTTTTCCAGGGCAAGGCTGCAGCTCTATCGGACGCGGGACATGGGCTGGGGCGTGCGGTCCCTGCAAGACATCCCACTGGGCACCTTTGTCTGCGAGTGAGTGAGTCCCCTGCTGCTGGCCGGTGTCGTTTCTGGGACTGAGGCCCGCCTGTGGCTGTGCCCCAAGAAGCCCCCCGGGAGCAGGCTCAGCCCCAGTCTACAGCACTTTGGGGTGGGGGGCTGCGGAGGCCCTGGCCCTGCCACATTGCAGTCTCTCGAGCTGCTTGCTGTCGGGTGCCTTGAAAACCCAGCTCACGTGTCCTCTAGCCTCTGCCGCCCCTCCGGCTTCTGTCTTCCATTACCCTCGCCAGCTAGTGAGTACATTAGGAAGATGTCCTCTGACACGGATGCTTATTCCGGGGGAAAATCCTTCTGGATTCTCAGAAGTTCCTGTATGATTGCCGTTCTCTTCTACAACCTAAAGCTCAACTCCAGTTCAGTCCCAGGCAGAAGTCTCCAAAGATGTCTGGCTGGCGTGTGCTCCCGGGGCTCCACCATGGTTCCCTGACACCTCAGAGGTGACAGCACGCTTGTCTGGGTGATGCTTGATGTCCTTTATCCTCATCTACCCCTCTCTCTGCAGGTATGTGGGGGAGCTCATCTCCGACTCAGAAGCCGATGTTCGAGAAGAAGATGCTTACCTCTTTGATCTTGACAATAAGGTAATGTACTTTGAGGGGCGGGGACTAGAGAGCTGGCTGTGAACTGTGAAGCCTGAGTGTGTTTGTTCTGGTAGCATCTGGAAGAGTGCCCCGGCACAGGCCCATTGTAGCCAGAAGCCTGCCAACTCCACTGCTCAATGCCGGCTTCGGTTCTGTGCTCGATGGAGGGCATCTTCGTTGGGAACCCTACCTGGGAAGTCCTGAGTTTGTGCAACAGGCTGCTCACCGCGTGCGAGTGGGCCTCAGACACACCCCTCCAACCCCTGGACCCCGACTGACCATCCAGGGTGGGACCCAGCAACCCCAAGGCCACAGAAAGTCTAGGGATGGCTGTGTGTTGGACATGACGGGTGAAGCAGCAGTGAGCCTCCTGTCGGGCAGTGGGCCCCATGTGCACTGAGATACTGGCAGGCTTAGCCTTGGTGTCCCCATCCTGTCTGAGTCCACCGTCTGGACATCGGACCCATTCTGGGAGAGAGCAGGGTTGCCCGGGATCCTGGTTCTAGTGGTTTCTGGGCCATTCCAACCCCCACGCTGCTGTCCCCAGAGCCGGTTTCCATCTTGTTCCTGAATTCATCCACTGTCTATTTAAACCCCTGGAACTCACAGTCATGGCACGTGGTGGGAAATAAAGGGTTTCTCATTTGCAATGGCAGCCACCAGACCACAGACCAGTATCATCCATGGAGAGTGGGGCCCCCCCATGGATGACCTGCCCCACCCCCGCCTCGGTCCCTGCAGTCACCTCTGCACAGTGACTCTTTGTGAAGCTCTCTGTGTTTCTTTGAAGGGAGACCAAGTTCAGGGAGGTCCCAGCACGCAGTCATGTTTCCTCACACGGTGGTGCCAAGCCTTTGAGGGATGCACCCTTTTCGTGTGCATATGTGTGTGTGTGGAGGGCTGTGGGGAGGCCTTTCTGTGGAACAGTTTGCCTTCTGTGAGTTAGTGGCACATATTCTGAGCAATGCTTTTTTGCCACTTGGGTGCTGCACATGTCTTCTTCCCTCTGTGGGCTTTTTACTTCCTAATGATGCCTTATATTTACTTATTGTTAGATAGGAGTCTCACTCACTCAGGCTGGAGTGTGGTTATACGATCACAGCTCACTGCCTTGGACTCCTGGGCTCAGGTGATCCTCCTCCTTGGCCTCCTCAGTAGCTGGGACTCCAGGCTGTGTGCCATCACACCTGCTAATTTAAAAATTTTTGGTAGATACGGCATCTTGCTGTGTGTCCTAGGCTGATCTCGAACTCCTGGGCTCAAGCAGTCTTCCTGCCTTGACCTCCGGATGTGTCAGCCTAATGATGTCTTTTAATGAACAGAAGTTCTTGTTTTTATTATAGTCCAATTTATCATTCCTTTTCTAAATACTTACTGAGTTTTTATAGTTAAGTTCTTCAAAAAGTCATTTCCAGAAACTGAGCTGTCTGCTTTCACTTCAGGTCCATGTGTAGACCTACAGCCGTTTTGCTTGTCTGGCGTGGGATCAGGGTCAAACTTGACTTTTTCCCCACGTTGATACCCTCTCGACTAACACTACTTGTGGAGAAGACCATCTTTTCCTCATTTGGCAGTGCAGCCCTTGTCAGAGTGCCGTGTCCCAGTCCCGTTGGTCTGCCCACTGTCACTGGACTCGTCCGCACCACCTAATGGTTGCAGTTTAAGTCGTCTCACCTCAGAGTTCCTTAAGAGTGTCTTGCTCTTCTTGGTCTGTGTCAGTTTTGAGATCAGCTACAAACATTTCTGTAGGATTTTACTGAGATTTCATTAAACCTGTCAGTTGGGTTAGGGAAATTGAGGTCTTGACCTCATCGTTGGCTAGTTCATGAAAGTGGTATATCTCTTCGCTTGTTTATGGTTTTCTGGGGTATGGATTTTTATATCTTCAGTGGGGTTTTTTAAACATCAGATAGGTTGTTGATTTTTTTCTCTTGGATCAACTTTTTGCAATGAACTTACATACGGTAAAAAAAAAAAATATATATATATATGAGCCGGTCTCGGTGGCTCAGCCTGTAATCCCGCGCCTTTGGGAGGTTGAGGTGAGTGGATTGCCTGAGCCCGCGGGTTCAAGACCTGCCTGGGCAGCAAGACCTCATCTCGACAATAAATCAAAAAATCATCCGGGCGTGGTAGTGCATGCCTGTAATTCCGGCTGCTCAGAAGGCTGAGGTGGAAGGATCGCCGGAGCCCAGCAGGTGGAGGCTGCGGTGGCCGGGAGCGGCCACTGCACTCCAGTCTGGGCGACAGAGTGAGACTCTAACTCAGAAAAAACAAAAAAAACTTTTAAGTGTATGTTTTCATTTTGACAAGCGTACATCTCAGTGTAATCACCGCCACCAAAAGATGAGCATCCCATCACCCTGAAGTCCCCTGTGGGCCCTGCGGTCATTCATTCTCCCTTGCCCGTCCTTGTAGGTGAGCTTCCCTGTGTTTGAATTTCCTGTGTCTGGCTCTGTGTCTCTCTCTGATTTGCCCTGGTGGTTGCCCGTGTCAGTGGTCTGTCCCTTCCTGTTGCTGAGCAGCTGTGTGGGTATCCCCCTCACGGCAGGTGGCCCTCCGGTCATTTTCAGTTCTGCTGTTACGAGCAGACCTGCTATGGCAGTCATAGACCTGTCTTTCATGGTCATGAGTTTTTTTGAGTAAATGGGATGGGAGTTCCTGGGGCATAGGTAAAGATGCCTTTACCTTTACAAGAGACTACCAGAGAGTATTCTACCTGTCACCTTCCCAGCAGTTACACTTTAATTTGCATTTTCTTGATGATTGATGAGTGTCTTTTCGTGCGCTTATTTGGTGTCCTTGCATCGCCAATGTTTTCGCTGCTGCTTGTCCTCTTGGCCACAGGAGCTCTAAGCATGTTCCAATTCTTCTGCCTTTGTTTTGTGTGTGTATGTGTGTGTGTGTGTGTTTCAGGAGGACCTTCTCTTGGTCGGTGCTTGGCCTCCTCGTGATCTTCACAGTGTCTTTCTTGGGGCAGAATTTTCTTTAATGTCCAGGGCTTTTTGTGTCCTAGGAAATCCATGTCTACCCCAAGGTTATGAAGATGTTCTGTCTTACTCTAGGTGTTGCATGTGAAAACAAAAGGTACAAGGCTTTTGTGTTTAGATCCGTGGTCCCGCTTGAACTAACTTTTGTCCGAGAGTCGGGTGGAGGTACTTTTGTCCCTGTAAACAGTTACTGCAGCAACACTGATGGGCACAGTCTCTGTGTGCCTGCCTCAGACAGATCTGGGTCTGGGCCGTGGGCTGTTGCCGTGATGAATCTGCTGATTCTCAAACCAAGGCAACGTGCCCTGGACTTTCAGCAAATCTTGAAGCCAGGCAAGGTGAGGTCCTCACGCTGCTCTTTCTTCACAGTTGTTCATTCTTCTGCATCCTTTGCATTTCCATCGACCTGAGAGTCAGTGTGTCAGCACAAGCAGAGACTGTGGAGTTTCACTGGGATTGCATTCAGTCTGTGGGTCTGCTGAGCCGTTGGGTCTCTTGACCCTGGGTTCTCTAGGTGGTCCGGCTCTTGTTGAGTTAAGCCTTCAATTTCTCTTCGCAGAACCTCTTAGCTTTTAGTGTACAAATCTTACACTGTGTGTTAAATGTATTCCTAAGTGTTTTCTTGCTGCTTATGTTTTGTAAACAGGTTTGGTTTGGTTTGGTATTTTGAGACAAGGTCTTACCCAGGCTGAAGTGCAGTTGTGTGATCATAGCTCACTGTAGGCTTGACCTCCTGTGTTCAGGTTATCCTCCCACCTCAGCCTTCTGAGTTGCTGGGACTATAGGCATGCACCAGCACACCCAGCTAATATTTTAAAAATATTTTGTAGAGACAGGGTCTTGTTTTATTGTTCAGGCTGGCTTCAAACTCCAGGCTTCAAGTGATCCCCCCACCTTGACCTCCAAAGCGCTGAGATTACAGGTGAGCCACTGTGCCTGGGCACACAGTATTATTTTTAAATTTCATTTTCTAAATGTTTGCTGCTAGCATATGGAAATAATTTTTTTTTTTGTATATTGGCCTTGGTAAAATTACTTATTAATTATGGTGACTTTAGTCATTAGAATCCTAAAGATCTGTACATGTCAGATCGTGTTATGTGTGAATAAAGACAATTTTATGTCTCCTCTCCAGTCAGTGTCACTTTTGCTCCTGGTCCTTGCGTTATGCCCTGATGGGACCGCCTTCCTGGCCTGTTCTCTGTCTTTGTAGTGGAGCATTCAGTGTTCGCCCTTTATGATGCTGACTTTAGGCGCTTTGTACATGCTCACCAGTGGTCAGGGTCGAGGTCCTTGGCTGTAGGATGAGATCCCTGTCTTCTTGCCGGCTGCCACCAGGGTGCCAAAGCTCTTAGAGGTGGCTTACTTCTTGAAGCCAGCAGGAAGCAACTCTGCTTTGTTGTCACTGTCAGCCAGAAGCAAGTCACATGCAAGGGTATCTGGGATACTCCTGGGGCCACCTTAGAATTCCCTCTCCAGGGCGCCTGCCCCCTCTGGCCACGCCCGCCCCCACCCCTGCTGCTTCCTCTCCCTGTGGCCTTGCCTCTTCTGGAACACGGTGTCAGTGGAGCTGCGGCTTGTGGCCTTTGTCTGGCTGCTTTGACTCAGCACGAGACTCCTCAGATGCGGTGTGTGGCTCCTGTCTCCCTATCTCAGTAGCTTTCCTTGTTCCTGCAGAGTGGCACTCGCCTGCCAGCCTGGCTCCTGGGCACGTGGAGCTGTCTCAGCTGCCAGAGTCAGGAGTGAAGCCACAGGAGATGTTCCCACGAGGCTTGCGGGGGGGCGTCTTTGTATTGTGGTGACTGCATGGTGAGTGGCGTTTGCTTCGGGAGAGGCTGCCTGTCATTCTTGGTCTGTGTACTGTGGGTTTTGCTGGGGTGCTTAGTTGCCCTGACAGGAGGACAAGTCCAGGACCTGCAGAGGCATCAGAGTCAGACACAGGAGCCCCTGGTGTCTGAGATCTGTTGATGTGCTTGCACTTGATATTTTTTCCACTTGGCTGCTTGATATATAGAAATACAGTTGGTTTTTAAAAATTACCTTTTTAACCTGTGGTCTAGAATCACTTATTAAATGTAGTCATGTGTTTGTGGATTCTGTTGGTTTTGTGTACACAGTTATGGTACCAGCAAGTAGGCTGCCCGCTCGTCCCCACTTGTATCATTCCCTGCTCCTGTCCTCCGCTCTGGTGGGCCCTGCCGCTGCTGGGAGGTGGCTCACAGCATCCATACCCTTCAGAATCCTGCGTTTCATGTGATGTTGGTGTTCAGGCTTTGGGATACCTTTACCAGATCACCAGAGTTCTATTTTCTGCCTCAGAGTTTCCCGAATTGATGTTGAATTTTGTTAAACATTGTTTGTAAATCTGTGAAACGTGCTGTGATTTTCTCCCTGCTCTACTAATGTGGTGAATTACCTGACCTTACATGCCATTGTTACAAGAACTGTAACTATGTGCGTGTTTTAACCACGAGACATTATCACTATCTGTGTGGTCAGCGGGGTTGGCTCGCATCTGGTGTCCTGCGGTGTCGCCTGCCCTTGCCTGGGGCTCTTTCCTAATGTCCAGCACCTCCAGTGTCTGCTGTCATCATGAGTCTGCTTCCAGCATCTGCTGTTCTCTTTTCCTTGTCTCCTCATGTTCCTGGTTGATTTTGTTTGAGTGCCAAACCCTGTATTTGACACCTGTCTGGGGAAGTGCATCGGGTCACCCTAGACCGTTTCCAGGAACTGCAAAGATTCAGAGCTGAGTGGCAGGCCTGGCCTCTACCATTCCAGCGACCTTGATCCAGGTGGCTCTTGTTCTGGGAGCCTTGTCGGTCCATCTGAGCTGCTACCACAGATGACCACAGACCAGGTAGCTTAAACGGCAGCCCCTTGTTTCTCACAGGGAAGGCTGGAAGTCCAAGGCTAAGGCGCTGGCAGGGCCAGTGTCTGGCAAGGGCCCCCGTCCTGGCTCGTAGACAGACCCCTCTCTTCTCCCATGTCCTCACGTGGAGTGAGGTGAAGGCAACTCTCTGGTGCTGCTATTACATGGGCATTGGTCCCGTCTGTGAGGCATGACCTCAGACCTCTCCAAGGCCTGTCTCCGGCACCTCACGTTGAGGGCGAGGGCTTCAGAAGATGACTCTTAGGAGGGACGCAGACGTGCAGACCTTCAGGCCCTGGCAGCAGTTCTTCCACTGGCAGCCCTTAGCCTGGTGCAGCCCTCAGGGTCTCAGGCGACAGTGAGGGGGACTCGCCTCGCCCTATACCCCAGCCCCTATACCCCAGCCCCACAGCGGTGTCGATGCCTTCCAGTCTGGCCTCAGCCAGGTCAGCCAGATGTCATCCCCGGAGCCTCTGTAAGCATGCCCAAGCCCAGGGCTGGCTCTGGCTCTGCCCACTCGATGCAGCAGCATCCAGCCCTGCTCCCCCACCTTCTCTCACGCGCACCTTGGGCACCCGGGTCCTTCTTGTTCATTCTGGGGACGTAAAAAGCTGTGAATGTGCCAGAGCCTCCCAGGCGTCTGTTCCAGCTCTGACCCATGTCCATCTGGGCACCGCCATTGCAGGGTCAGAGTGACCATGTTCAGCGTGCCCTGCCCCCTGCCTGCCCCACCTAAGTGTTGTGGCTGTACACCTGGTGAGCTCTCCCACCCACCAGCTGACATGCCAAGAGACGTCCAGACTCCACCTTCAGAAGGCCTCCTGGACTGTTGCAGTGGGCTCAGCCCTGGGGACCACCCAGCCCCTTCCTGCTGCCTGCTCTCAGTCTGACGCCACCATCCTCCATCTCCCCCCTCATCACAGCCCTCACAGGCTCTTGTGCTCCCACCCCTCTGCCCTCCCACCCTCACCTCCTTCGGGCCGTTGCTCGCATCTCTCCTGGTAATGGGTGCCCAGCAGGGCTCTGTCTGTGGCCTGTTTACCCAAAATCTGGGTGGATGGTCTTTTGATCAGAGAACTTTGAAAGAGTGGCACCTGTATCTGAAAGGACACGTGGTAATGTCTCTGGGAAGGTTCTGGCACCTGAAGTCTCTGAACAGGCCCTGTGTGGTGTCATGGAAGGGTCAGAAAGAAGCAGCACATGGTGGGGCCATGGGCGGGGCCCCAGCTGACCCTGGAGGAGCCACTTGTTCCCATGACAGGGTCAGTTTGTTTCCGGGACCTGTAGCTGTGCTCTTCCCCCTGCAGACTCCCCAGCTGGAAGCTGGTGGTGGCCTGTGCAGGTCCAAGGGTCACTGTCCTTGTCTCTGGTTAGGCAGTGGGAGGTGTGGGCTGCTGGCAAGTCCAGGCTGACTGGCCCAGGTCACATGGGGACCCATGGGAGAGTGTGGGGCTGGGGGTGAGTGCGTGGGAGGACCCCCTGTGCTCTGCCCCTCAGACACCATGAAGCCCAACCTTGTCCCCAGAAAAGCCAGAACATTCCCCCAGGGGCCTATATACCGGGCTGTCATGTGTGGCTCACGTGGGGGTCAGACTGAGGAGGGCCTTGTCCAGAGAAGTCACGAACCATGCTCCTGTGGGGCTGGTTCTCTCTCTCTGCCGTGGGCAGGGTGGAGGCGGCCCCCCATCTTCCGGGCAGCCACAGATCCCACACGTGGGGCCGAGTGATGCTTGGTGCAGAGCCGGAAGGTTTCTCAGGGTGGGAGGAAGATTATTTTTGAAGCGCTGCACTAGATAATCTCCAAGTCCTGCTGCTCTGGACCAGAAAGCCACAAAACGAGACCAGAGATGGTGGCCCTGCATGGCCCTCTGTCTGCTGTCAGCTCCGTGACTCCAAGTGATGCCAGTTCAGGGCCCCATGTGTGGCCGGGCCGTCTACAGGAAGACCTGAAGATTGCTGTCTCCTCAGCCCCTCCATCTGCTGGACCCTTGGAAGAACCAGGGGGACCCAACCCACCCGATGGGTATCCTCTGCTTCTAGAGAGTGAGCCATGGGGTCAGTCCAGCACCAGGCCCTGTGACCACAGAGCCGGCCATGGCGGAGTCCCTGCTCTGAGGCAGGAGGGGTGCCCAGCGTCCATGCTGCAGGCCCCGGCCCCTCTGCACAGGTGCTGCCCCGTGAGCCAGGCACCTGCCGCCGTACCGCTCCCAGAGTCTGCTACTTTAGTCTTTCTCCTTCCTCGGTCTGTTGTGGGGCTCCCCATCTCTCCTAACTCTCTGCCCCCCATCCCCGCACTCCTGACTTCTTCCCCCCCCATGTTACAGACATTCGGGTCTCTCATTGAGAGAGAGTGAGGGGGGAAGAGAAAGGGAGAGAGGGAGTTTTGCTTCTCTGTTCTTCCTGCAGCAACTCCTTTTCTTGCCTTTGTGGGCAATCCCTTGCTTCCTGTGTACTGTGAGAACTTCTGAATGTACAGAAATGTCGAGATATTGGGAGAGTAAAGGCCCTTATTCCCCCACCCAGATGTAGCAGCTGTCAGTCTCACTCCGCTTGTTTCACCCACTTTTTTTTTTTGCCGAGGAAATGTAAAGCTAATTACAAGTGGGATGTTCCAGTGACGTCAGGTGTGCTCTAAGCAGAGATGTTTCCCGGGTAGCCACAGTGTCGCCATTACACTTTGCAGGCTTGGCCTCTTCTGACCTCTGGTCCGTTGACAGGTCTTTGTAGTTTTCCCAAGAGACCTTTCTGCTGGCTTGTCCCTGGGCATCGGGCGGGTCTGTGCCTTATACTCGTGCCGCCTCGGAAGGTTCTTGTCACCCACATCGCCTCTGGAGAAATGAGCTGTGGCCGGCAGAGCTCTGAGTCAGCTTTGCCTGTGTCCCTCATGGTGCCGCTCGGCTGTTCCCTTCTTGCCTGTGCCTCCTGCCCATGGGGCCAGGCTGGGGCTCAGTGGTGCCGCTGTGCCCTGTAAGGCGCTTCATGTCTGGCGTCCCCTGTCGTGGGTGGGGGCCACCCTGGTCTGCGCCTTCCCCCTCAGGTGTCAGTACCCACTGACCACCCCAGCTGTGTGCCTCATTGACATCCGTCATGCCTTCCATATTTTATAACAGAAAACCCTTCTGTTTAGGGAAATTAAGAAATTGTACCCCACATCTTCAAAATAAAAAGTTTTAAAAAGAGAAAAGAAAATTAAGAAAGCGGTCCCACTTAAGCCTGAGCTTTTAGGTTACCCTTGTGAAAAGGCACAAAAATGCTTCATTCTTGCTGTTTAGTTACTGATTTTCAGAGTAAGGAGGTGGCATAAAAATTACTGGTGGCAGCTGGGCTTGGTGGCTCAACCTGTAATCCCACGCCTTGGGAGGCTAAGGTGAGTGGATTACCTGAGCCCTTGGGTTCGAGACCCGCCTGGGCAACTTGGTGAGACCTCATCTCTACAATAAATCTATAAAATCAGCCGGGCGTGGT